CTGCATGGGAAAGCAAGAATGAAAACATAGAGTTCTTGTGATCTCTTCTGCTTGTCAGTTTGCGGGGCAGACCTGCAGACAAGTGCAGAGCAGTGTCATTCATGTTCTAATGGAGCCATGTACCGCATGCAGAGGCAGAGAGGGGAGGGGGAGGCTCCCAGATCAGAGAAGGATGTCCTGAGCCAGGCTTGAAGAACTAAGTAAATAGTGGTTCAGCAACAGAGAATGTGCAGAAGAGCATTCCTGGCAGGGTAACAGACACAGAGACATAAGGAATCATCTTGCCTTTGGGAAGAATAAGTAATTTGGTCAGGCTCGGCTATAACACGCAGTAGCAGGGGTGAGCTAGGTAGAGGCCTGGTAAAGAAAATCTTCCACATCTGGCAGATGACTTGACCGTCTTGCTTCTGTACGCACTAAAGAATTCTGAGCCAGGAATTTCCCATGCTTAGATGTGCCTGTTAGATGTTTCTGGCAGCAGTATGGAGAATGGTCTGGAGGAAGGACCTTCACTGCAGTTCAGATTTCCTTGAATAGCCATAGGAATAAAGGGTGATGAGAGCTGGAAGTAAGGCCACAGCAGTGGGGGTGACAGGAGAGCAGAGAGATCCTTAGGAAGTGCCATCAGCTCGGCCTGAAGACTAGCTGTGAGCAATGAGAGAGAATTTGACAACAGTTTTGGAGTTTCCAGCCTAGAGACCTACAGCTTTGGGGGTTGTGTTTTTATTTTTTGTTTTTAATTTCCACTGGTAAAACTCTAGAAGTCCCTTCTACTTACTTAAAGGATATCCTGATACTATAAAACTCAACTTGGTATGTGGTCAACATTTAATCAAATGAATACATTCTTTTCTTGGACTTTTGTAGCTCGATTTTTCTGCACCCTTCCCCACCCATAGTTAACTATGATCAAGGAAGTCTAACAGGCAAATCTCATAGAGCTTGATGTGTTCTACTCTGCAGAGTCGTTGATCATTCGGATGAAAACAAGATGAACTCCAAAGACTTGGGGGTGATATTTGGACCAAGCCTCATTAGGCCAAGGCCCACAACTGCTCCTGTGACCATCTCCTCTCTCACTGAATACTCAAACCAAGCGCGGCTGGTAGAGTTCCTCATTACCTACTCCCAGAAGATCTTTGATGGCTCTCTGCAGCCACAAGACGTAGCTATGTGTAGTACAGGCGACGTTTCACCGCAGGTGGATCAAGGCTGCCATCCAAAGCCTCTACTATCCCCAGAAGATAGAGACACAGAACATTTGACGAAGTCACTCTTTTTCTCCTCAAAGGAAGTGAGTTTTGTTTGTCCTTTATGGAATTGTGGTGGAACTTTGTAATGTTCATGTTAAGTTAAAAACCTTTGAACTGCTTCTTGTGAAGTATGTTTTGCTTCAAGTTTAAAACTTCTCTCCCGCCCACAGGATATGCACAGTGCAGACGGTGAGAACAAAACTCTTGAACCAGTTGCCTCGTTTGAGGAATCGGAAGGAAAGCAGGATGCATCAGAAGAGTGGGATGCGTGTCTCATTGGTGAGTGGTCGTGTGCCATGCCTGTTTGCTGACCTAAAACTATGTCAGTGAACCATGATTAAAAGCCAAAACATTTAGAATCCTACAATTTCTAATGTTTAATGCTTTACTTGTCACCTGCCTTTAACACATTAAGCATGTGTATGTGTATGTATCTCTTTATTTGCTTGTTTCTTGACTTCAGTTACTTTATTCACTGATCATTTTAGTTGCAGTGATTGGTGACTATCAAGCTGGTGGAAAATCTTCCATTTATTACTGTAATGCTATACATTCCCAGAGCTGACTTCCACTTTTTAAAATTTCAGGCATACATGTTAAATTTAATGTGTAATCAAACAGCAGTGACATAGCCTGACCGGGTCTAGAAAGTAGGGGAGCTAAGTTTCATTAAGTTCCTGCCTGCTCTCTGCTAAGCACTGTGCTTATTGTTTTGATTTCATTTATCTGATTTAATCTTCATAACAGTGCTGTGATGTAGATAGTACTGCTCCATTCTGCCATAGCTTAGTAGTGTGAGACAGGTGAGATCATGCCGAAGATCACGCCCCTAATAAATAGCACAGTCTGTAGTTGAACCTCTGCGTGTGTTATTTCACTATCCCATGAGCTAGGGCTCCCAATTGGAATAGTTCTTTAGTGTCAGTTCTGAGTGCCGTTGTATTCCAAATAATTCTGAGCACTTTTCATGATTGAATCATTAAGCCATACATCAACATAGATCCGGTTATAATTCTCTTTTGACAAATGGAGACCTGAGGGACAGTAACATCTCCTTGCCCAGTGCAGATGTGGTGGAGCTGAGCTAAACCCCGCAACCAGGCTGCAGAGTGTGCACTCTGACCATTCGGCTGTGGGTGCTTCCCTCCGAACTTAGGAGTGTGCTTTGGTTGATGTCTCCAGCCTGAACCCAATGAGTCAGGCCCCCTAGAGTGGTCTGTAAATGTGGGCATGGAAACCAATGAATTGTTGCTTAGGAAGGCCAGGGAAGAGAGGTGGGCGGTGTCAGCTGAGGAGGGAGGGCCTATGGGATGACAGCTGACAGATTCTGATGGGCACCTGTCAGCAGACCACTGCCCAAAACAGGAACATTAGACAACGGGCCGAAATCTTCCAGATATGGAAATTTCTTAGGGGAGACATAGCAACAAGGATCATGGCTTAGTGGAATTCAGAGTTCTAGTTTGAGAAGACATGGGCCGTGGGTACAGGCTTGATAGGAAAGAGAAGAAAGTCAGTCTGGGAATAAACAGTAAATGGAGTGAATGTCAATTTTTCCCTCACAGTAAAACTATCAAACCTTAATTGGATGGGATGAATGGTATAGTCCGTTTATTTGTTGACCAGATTGAAAGCCATCTAAAGCATTTCATAAAATGTGCTGTCACTGTGGGTTGAGTGTGACTGTAAAGCAAAGTAGGGAGTCGGCGAAAGCATCGGGATTCAAGGGCACACCTGTGTTTGGCTGGCCTGTAAATTGGTGTAACTGTTCTGAGCTGCATTTATGAATGTCTGTCTGCTGAAATCGTGACAACCCTTTGACCCAGCAATTACTTGTTCATTCATGTACAGCACGTAACTTCAGCAAGTGTTTTCTTTTTGTTTTAACGAATCTGCACTGAATCTTTGTAGCTGTTTATTATATTTATTTCAGTAAGTATAAAATTGTAACCTTTTTTTTGAGTGTCTACCTTTAAATTCTTCTGCATGGCCCTGACCAGGTAGCTCAGTTAGAGTGTGTTGCCCCAGTATGCCAGGGTTGTAGGTTTGATCCTTGGTCAGGGCACATACAAGAATCAACCAATTAATGCATAAATAAGCATAACAACAAATTGATGTTTTCTCGCTCTTTCTTCTCACTGTAAAATCAGTGGCTAAAAAATGTTTTGAAACACTCCTCTGCGTAGATAACTGAGACTAACTTGGGAAAATTTAAGACCATTATCGTTTTGAGAGCATGTTTGTGTGTAACTCATGCAGACTCCTCCTGTTAAGCAGGTGTCAGGAAGTTTGATGTTCAAATAAATCTGTTCCTTTTTCAGACAACAAAGTGCGTTTGCTTGCAGACCAAGGACTTGAGTCTGCACCAGAAAAGACGGAAGATGTTCTTAAAATCTCCAGGCCATTTACTCTGAAACCTGATAAGGAAACAAACAGTGCTGTTGAGAGGGGTACTCCAAGAGCCAAGAGTAGACCTGTAAGTTTGCCTGTGGATAGACTGCTGCTTCTTGCAAACCCTCCTCATGAGAGAAATGGCAGAAATATGGGAAATGTAAACTCAGACAAATTGTGCAAGAATCCTACCTTTGACGGAGTTAATACCCCTACTCTTTGTTGCAAATTTGATGGCTTTGACCAGCAAACTCTTCAAAACCCTGGGGAGAAACAGGATGAACCTAATGGCCTAAATGCAAAGATGGCACTGATTGTGCCCAGTGCCCTCCGGGAAGGAGGAGTGACGACGAGCATCAGGATCAGTGGGGACCATGTGGTCAGTGCCACCCAGCCCAGTAAGCCGTGCCCAGAACCAGTCAGGTCAGCAAGACAGGTGTCGGAGGGACGGTCCTCTGACTCCTGCCCTGCTGCCCCTGTCAGAGCGCCCAGAACACTGCAGCCCCAGCACTGGACAACATTTTACAAACCACGTGCTCCCGCTGGTAGTGTGAGAGGGGCTGAGGAGAAACCTGTGGCATCCTCCCCCAAAGTGCCTCCTGGCTCAGCTCACACTTGTCGGGAGCATGTGCTGAAATCAATGTCAGACTCAGAAAACGCACCAGCTCCTTGTCCCTTGCAGCCCAGAAGTAAACCTAAGGAGAACTGCGAGGAGCGTGACTTGCCCAATGTGCACCCGACATGTCAGAGACCAAGGCTTAAGCGAATGCAACAGTTTGAGGACCTGGAAGGTGAAGCCCCACAGTTTGTGTAGGGGTGTCAGAATTCAGCTTCTCCTCTATGGTTGTTTTGTTTTGTGGTATTGTGTTTGTTTTGTGAGAGAATTTTGACAAGGCCCCTTTTGTATAGGATTGCCAAAGTGTGGATTTTGCTTTTCGTCATTGTATGTGTTACCCTGTTTTGGGTGTACTGAACTCTAGAATGTTGTGATAGGGCCGCATGTGTGTCTCACTGGAATTATCTGTATTTTTGAAGTTGTGCATAAGTAGGCAAACTGATATTTGTTAAAGTTTATTAGATTTTCTCCATAAAGTGGTCCATTCAAATGCATCCCTAATATATGACGTAGTTCTCAACTAATAGCTGCCATTGGGGAAAATCGTCTGTATTTTTCTGAAATAAAACTATGTGCTTATTTATAAAAGGAATGTTCCTGAATGCAAGTGCCTGAAAGGTCTTTGTTTGGTATGATATTTTAAAAGACAAATTTATAGTGTGTCTTTGACCATTGTGCTTTTACGGTATGTATGCAACCTTTTATTTTTCAGTTGGCAAGTTTTTTTTTTAATTTACGTCATGGCCAGAAAGCTTGCAGATCTGTATTTAATTGCATTCCAATTAATTGCCAGATTTACAAGTGGTAGTGAGTTAAATTTTACAAAGAAAATGCACTTAAACCTGTTTTTGAATTATATAGTACAGTTATGTCTTATTTGGCTTTAAATGGTTTTAATACATTTAATGTTTTTTTTATGTTTTGGTTTTTTTCTACATAAACTTTTGTTGTTCAACAGTTCTGAATGTTTTGGTATTTTCTATAATAGGCCAAAAATGTTTTAAAATTTAATGCATTTCCTCTTCATATTGTTGAGGTTTAAAAAATATTTCTTTTGTATGAAACGTTTTTACTTATGAATAATTTTGTGTACTTTGTCTGCCTGGACTTTAACCATTGACAGTGTATGTTTCATATGAATTGTGCAAAGAGTTATTTAAGTCGACTGTGAGTGTAGTTCAGTAAGCCTTGTTGTTTGGAATTTGAGAGCAAGTATAGATGGTTGGATACATTTCATATATAAATTTCTCTGTTTTTAGCACTAAAAACTGTTTTCTGTATTTTGTCATTTTGCCTAAAATTGGATATAAAGGGAGAAAAAGTAGCCTTTTTGTATGTATGAATTCTATTTGTAATACATGCTTTTGTATGAGAATATTATACTTGATAAAATATATGTTAATCTGTTAAATTATTTCACGTTCTTTGAAACTGGTTGCCTCTTAGCGGATGAAAGTTGAAGGTTTATTAGTCATTGGCTTAGTGATCAGCCCTTGGGCTCATATTCCCCTTGACTTAGTACAACATGGAATGTATTTTATGCGAAGTTTTTGTATAGTTTTATGTAACAAACTTTTGTGCCTGGGCCTTGTTTTTAGGCTTCATTGTACAAAATATAAAAGAATTGTATGGCTGCAAAAACCTACAAAGAAAATAAGAGCCAACAGTGATTGAGCCATCTCTGTGTGCCATGAACTGTACTGAGTTCCTACATAAATCACTTCAAGTTGACAGCAGCCTGTAATGGATGGGAACGTATTTCATTTTTCCCATGTTATAGACGAGGAAGCTGAGGCTTGGTTAAATGGTGTGCCCTGGGCCCAGGACTCAGACACAGGGCTCAGAGTCTGCTGGTTACTACCCTTAGTGGCTGTACAATTACTAAGTAACAAGGTCAGGTAATGTTTAACAATAGAAGATTTACCTTTGGTGGCATTAAGTACATTCATACTTTTTGTAACTGTGACCATAGATACTTTTAGTCAGATTTCCTTAAAACGAGAGGACTGCTGCGTGACCGTTCCGTCCTCTGACCGTTCCAGAGGTCGACGTCGGCATGTGACATCTGACCACACAGACCACACTCACATTCGCTGCTTCTCCTGCTCATGGTTCTCTGTGCCCGAGTCCCGGTCCAGGGTCACAGCATGCATTCAGCTGTCCTCTCTCTCATCTCCCTCAATCTGGAACAGTTGTTCAATCTTTTCTTTCATGACCTTGAAATTTGTGTGTAGGCTGGGCATTGTATAAAATGCCCCTCAGTTTGGGTTTATCTAATGTTTCCTTACGATTAGGTTCAGGATACACATTTTTGTCAGAAAACACCAGAGAAATGATGCTGTGTCCTCACTTTATCATGCCGTGAGATACACAATCTCGGGTTGGCCCATTCCTGATCATATTAAGTTTGGTCACTTGGTTAGGATGGTTTCTCTACCATGTTTCCCTACAGTAAAGGTAACAAGAAGAAGTTTGTGAGGAGATTCTTTGAGACTACGTAAATGTCCTGGTCCTTATCAAATTGTCACCAGTTAGTATGAATCTGTTAGCACTTCCTGCCTGAGTCAGTTATTACTATTCGTTTGTCAGTGGTTGCTTATGCTTTGGTCGATGCTCTACTCTAGGTACAGTCCCTTCTCCCTTTGTTCATTTGTTTATTCATTTGTGTTGAGTATGGACTCACGGATTTCTACTTTATTCAGTAAGTTACATCACTGTCATTGACACTGAACCTTTGTCAGATTTGGTCTATGGGAATCTCTTCAGGCTCACTTCTATGTGCTTTTGACTTTTTGAGCTCTTCTGATATTTTTGACACAGGAACATATTCCAAGCTTATCTTGTACTTTTCCCTGTCCCAGCCATTTTTACAAGGAGCCCTGGTTCCTTTAAAACAGGGGTGTAGTCCTGGGTGGTGTAGGTCAGTGGACTGAGCACAGGTCTGTGAACCACAGGGTTGCTGGTTTGATTCCCAGCATAGGGCACAGGCCTGGGTTGCGGGCCAGGTCCCCACGTGAGAGGCAACCGCACTTGGATGTTTCTCTCCCATTCTTCCTCTCCTTCCCTTCCCCTCTCTCTGAAAATAAATAGATAAAAATATATATTTTAAATTTATTTCTTGTTTACATTAGGCTCTTTTTATATTCTCAGATAGCTACATGTAACCAGTAGCTACCTTATTAGACAATGCAGATACAGAACATGTCCATCACTTTAGAAAGTTCTGTGCTATGCTTTTCAATAGTCATTCAGAGAAAATGCTTGTCATATAATAAAATGGTAAAAGAGACTGGCAGAGATAGGTCTTTATCTTCTACTTAGATAGCAATCTGCTTAGATTACTTCTTTAACTTTCTGACTAATATTTTTAAAGATATTTTATTAATTATGCCATACAGATGTTCTATTCCACTCTTCATTCACCTTCACCCTGCACACCCCCTCCCCCACCATTCCCCCCTTTAGTTTATTACCTCGTGCCTCAAGTTCCTTAGATTCTATATTTCCCATACTATTCCTGCCCTCCCCTCTATCTATTTTCTGCCTACCATCTATGCAACTTATTCTCTGTACCTTCTCCCCTCTTCTCCTTCTCCCACTCCCCTGTTGCTAACCCTCCATGAGATCTCCATTTCTATGGTTCTGCTCCTGATTTAGCTGTCCTCTTAGTTTGCTTTTGTTTTAGGAGTGCTTGTTGATAACTGTGAGTTTGCTGTCCTTTCACTGTTCATCTTTTTTATCTTCTTTTTCATAGATAAGTCTCTTTAAAATTTTATATAATAAGGGCTTGGTCATGATGAACTTCTTGAAATTGATCTTATCTGAGAGGCACTTTATTTGTCCTTCCATTCTAAATGAAAGCTTTCCTGGATAGAACAATCTTGGATATAGGTCTTTGAATTTCATGACTTGGAATATTTCTTTCTAGCCCCTTCTTGCCTGTAAGGTGTCTTTTGAGAAATCCTCTGGCAGTTCGATGGGAAGTCCTTTGTAGGTTACTGTCCCCTTATCTCTTGCTGCTTCTAGGATTCTCTCCTTCGTTTTAATCTTGGCTAATGTAATGATGATGTGCCTTGGTGTGTTTCTTTTTGGGTCCATCTTCTTTGGGACTCTCTGAGCTTCCTGGATTTCCTGGAAGTCTATTTCCTTTGTCAGATTGGGGAAGTTCTCCGTTATTATTTGTTCAAATAAGTTTTGCACTTGTGGCTGTTCCTCTTCCCATTCTGGTGCCCCTATAATTTGGATGTTGGAATGTTTAAAGATGTCCTAAAGGTTCCTAAGCCTCTCCTCATTTTTTTGAATTCTTCTTTCTTCATTCTATTCTGTTTGGTTATTTTTATTCCTTCTTCTGGTCCACGCCTTTGATTTGAGTCCCAGTTTCCATTACTATTGGTTTCCTGTGTATTTCCATTCGTTTCAATTAGTTTAGCCTTCATATGTTCCTCTAATTTGTGACTATAATCAACCAGTTCTGTGAGCATCCTGGTCACCAGTGTTTTGAAATGTGAATCTGAAGGTTTGGCTATTTCTTGGTTGCTTAGATTTATTGGCTCTGGGGCTCTGAGTTGTTCTTGAGCCATGTTTTGATTTGTTCATGCCTGTTACTTATGAGGAGCAGAGCCTTAGTTGCTCATCAGGGTGGGGCTACCCAGGTCATTTGTTTGTGACGCTCTATATGGGGGCGGGGGTCAGAGAGGGACAATGGCGGTTTCCTCTGCTGCTTCCTGCCACTGGGGCCTTCGAGGTTTTTCTCACTGCTAGCTCTTTCACCAGTTTATCTGCACACTAATGTGTGACTGTGATCAGCCCTCAGTGGGTCCACCCTCTTCTCCACACCTGTGATGTGCCCAGGGCTGCTGGTGCACCTGGGTCAAGTGCCCAGGTCGGTCCTGAGGATCTTTCCTGCCCGACCCCACTCTGCTGCTGGCTCTGCCCCCTTACCGGTTTGACTGAAGGGTTTGTTGTTGTCGGACTTTCATGTAGTTCAATTTTCTGTGGGTTGGCTGTGTTTCTGTTGCTAAAACTTTGTTTTTCTTAAACTTAGTTGTGGGAGAAGGTGCAGTGCTTCCCTCTACGCCTCCATCATGGTGGAAGTCTGACTAATATTTTTGAGGTCCATGGAATTTAAGAGTTGCATAGATTCATTGATGTTAACTCATGCTGTTAGTAAACAATCTGATTTTTCATTCTTGGACCTTGAGAGTTGCTGTTGTAAAAATGCTTTATAATTCTTATAAAATGTTCCTGCTTTTAAACAGAGTTCTCAGACCTTCTGAGTTCTAAATACTTAAATTTTTTTTTTAGCAGGAATTATGTCAGAATATTAAATAGAGTTAAAAATTACTGAAGCAAAGATCTACTTGTTACTTTCTGCTCTAACTTTAAATTTGTTTTCTTTCATGTTGTAAGTCTTCTGAAAATGTTTCAATGGAACCAGTGGACTCATCCAATGAAAAAGGTAATGCTTAACATAGTATAAACCTTTGCCAAACTTTTTTCAGTTACCTTCAATAAGTGTTTGAATTTTGATAAATGTTTTAGATATCTTCTTGCTTAGTAACCTAATATATACTTATTTTAACATAAACTGAAATGTAAAATTTTATACATAAAACTGAAGGAAAAAACCGACTAGATAATGTGATTGTAAAGTGATCCAGAACTATATTGAGCTTGTAATTTGATGAATAATAGAAATACATATTAAGATAAAAAATACGTTGTATCTTCTCTGACCACAATGCTGTTAAACCAGAAATCAATAACAAGAAAAATATGCAATGACATGGAAGCTAAATAACATGTTATTAAACAATGAATGGGTCAACAACAAGGTCAGGGAAGAAATCAAAAGATACTTTGAAACACATGAAAATGAGGACACACCAGTCCAAAACCTGTGGGACACTGGGGAAGCAATCCTAAGAGGGAAATTCAGAGCATGACAGGCCTATCTCAAAAAACAAGAAAAAGCTCAAATAAACAATAGAGCTTCACAATCTTGGAGCTTGAAAAAGAACAACAAAGCCCAAAGTGAGTAGAAGGAAGGGCATAGTAAAGATCAGAGCAGAAATAAATGAAATAGAGTGGGGAAAAAAGTTCACATTATACATGGCAAAATACAGCATCTCCCCAGACACGGGAAACACAAGAAAAAATAAACAAATAGAACTACATCAAACTAAAAAGGTTTTGCAAGGCAAAGGAAATCATCAACAAAATAAAAAGACAACCCACAGAATGGGAGAACATATTCACCAATACCTCTGATAGGGGGTTAATATCCAAAATTTATAAAGTACTTACAAAACTTAACACCATAAAAACAAACAACCAAATTTAAAAATGGGCAAATTACCTGAATAGACACTTCTCCAAAGAGGACATACAGATGGCCAATAGACATATGAAAAGATGTGCAACATCACTAATCATCAGAGAGTTACCAATTAGAACCACAATGAGATGTCATCTCATACCTGTCAGAATGGCCATCATCAATAAATCAAGAAGTGCTAGCGAGGATGTGGAGAGAGGGACAGACACCCTGGGTACCCTTTTGCCCTATTGGTGGGAATGCAGACTGTTGCAGCCACTATGGAAAGGAGTATGGAGATACTTCAAAAAGTTAAAAATGGATCTGCCTTTTGACCCAATAATTCCACTTCTGGGTGCATATCCAAAAGCACCCAAAACACTAATGAGAGATCATAAGCTGCCCTATGTTCATTGCAGTGTTATTTACAATCTCCAAGATATGGAAGCAGCCTAAGTGGCCATCCATAGATGAGTGGATAAAACACTATGGGATATTTACCCAATGGAATTCTACTTGGCAGTAAAAATGAATAAAATTTTACCCTTTGCAACAGTATGGGTGGACCTAGAGGACATTAAGCTGAGTGAAATAAGCCAGAGAAAGACACATACTATGATTTCACTCATATGTGGAGTGTAATGAACAAACTGAACTAACAAGCAAAACATAGACTCATAGATGGAGTCTGTGACTCCAGACTATAGACTCATAGACTCACTAGCTGCAGATGACAACTAGTGGCAGGGGTGGTTAGGGGGTGAAGGGATTGAGCACAAAAGGAGAAGGACCCGTGAACATGGACAACAGTGCTGGGGGCAGGGTATAAAGGGACTAAATGGTAATGGAAAAAATAGAGTAAAGGTTAAATAAAATATTTTAAAAATTAGGAATACATTTTAATTTGAAACTGTTTTAAATGTGACCCTTTAATTGTAAATTTGTTTCTTGTATTTTTTAAAGTGTCTTTCATTGAAGAACATCTCAGGTTTCAAATGTTCCTTCATTTAAGAGTTACATGGTCATATTTAATATACTTACCTTAATATTTTTATTTTCAGGAAATTTTTCTCCTATACAAGTAGACAACACGCTTTTAAAGAACACTGACCCTGTAGAACTGACTTTGTCATATGTTAAAACATGGTCAAAATATACCAAGCACGTTGTGTCATGGGTTGAAATAAAGCTTAACTTTGGTAAGTAGCCCTTCGGGTCGTCTGATTAACTTTGCATTGTAAGAACTGAATTATTTGAAATGCATTTGATACAGACTATGAGAAATATGATTCCAAATTAGTAGCTTGTTTTATTGTAGTAAATCATTGTTCATTTTCTCTTCTTGAAATAAAAGACTCATCCAACAATAAATGTATTTATTGAATATTACACGGGGCAACCACTACATCTGGGGACACAAAGACAAACTGTGTGCTGTGTTTGACTTTAAGGAAATTATGCTTTAGTAGTAAGAGAAATGCAATCAGATAACATGTTAAAGGGAGATAAAATCAACAATAAATGTATGAACAGAAGGTAGTGGAAACAAATAAGGAACATCTTAACAGCTAATGTTTTCCCAGTGTTTATTGCAGACAAATGCTTTTATATCGATTTTCTCTTTTAATCCTTACCAGAACTCTGGGAAGTAGACAAGAATTATTATCCCCTTGTTACAGCTGAGACAAGTAAGATAGGTAATCTGCTTAAAGTTAGATTGCAGATTTGCCTAAAATCACAAAGCAATAACTGGAAGAATTTAGAATTTATCCAAATCCAGTGCTCTATTTACTACATTATTTGCTTTCAATAGGGAATGCCCTTCAGAGAAATAAGCCTAGGTCCCCACTCCCCAGGTGACGTTTAAACAAGTGTGTTTGGAAAGTTTCCCAGTTGATTTTGACTATCATTTCCAATGAGAATCACAGCATCTTACACTTGTTTTATCTACTCATCTTCTGGTGGACACTTGGGCTGCTTCCATATCTTGATGACTGTAAATAACACTGCAGTGAACATAGGGGTGCTTATATTCTTTTGGATTAGTGTTTTGGGTTCCTTTGGATATATTTCCACAAGTGGAATAGTTGGGTCAAAAGGCAGATCCATTTTTAATTTTTTCAGTTATCTCCATACTCCTTTCCATAGTGGCTGCACCAGTCTGCATTCCCTGGGTTCTCGTTTTCCACATCTTTGTCAATAATTGTTTGTTGGTTTATTGGAGGTGGCCATTCGGATGGGAAGGGATTGGTATTTCATTGTGGTTTTAATTTGCATTTTTCTAATGACTAGTGATGTTGCACATCTTTTCATATGTCAATTGGCCATCTGTATGTCCTCTTTGAAGAAGTGTCTATTCAGGTTATTTGCCCATTTTTAAATTGGGTTGTTCATTTTTTGTTGTTTTTGAGTTTTATAAGTTCTTTATAAATTTTGGACATTAACCCCTTATCACATGTATCAGGGTACATATTTTCCCATTCTGTGGTTACACAATGGAATACTACTCAGCCATAAAAACAGTTTTACTTTTTGTGACAGCAGGGATGGACCTAGAGAACATTATGCTAAGTGAAATAAGCCAGAGAAAGACAAATACCATATGATCTCCCTCATAAAGTAGAATCTAATGAACAAGCTGAACTAACAATGCAAATTGACAGAGACTCATAGATAAAGAACAGGATGACAGCTACGGGAATAGAGAGTAGAAGGTAGAGGAACTGAGCAACAAGGAAAAAGGATTCCTGGACTCGGACAAGAGTGTGGTGGTTGCAGAAGGGGGAGGGAGGTGTGAGGGGACTAAACGGTAATGGCAAAAATACAATAACAAATAAAAGATTCATAGTGTCATATCATCATGTGGAGTAGTATTTGTGATCACTTATTAATTGGAGAATTAAAATACTTTTGGAGTGTGGAGGGGATAAATAAGTTATTTTTATCTTCTGAGGCTTTCTGTGACCTTTTTCAGAATTGGAGTCCAGTAGAAATATTGTCAAGTTGGCAGAGGCAACTAGAACTAACTTTGGACTACAGGTAAGTGTTCGATGAACAGCTAGGGCTCTACACCAAGAGATTATTCAGATGAGCTCCTGATAGTGCCTTGCAAAATCAGAAAACCTCTCAATTAACGTAGAGGAGAACTTAAATGCTTAACTTTTTATTAACAGAATAAAATCCTTTTACATTGACCTGGATACCCGTTATGAAAATAACCTGGGAAATTCACAGTTTTAAATGAATGTTATCTTATTAGAGACTAGTTTTTCTAATTTTCTAATTCATTATTATTAATTGTCTTCAGTATTTTTCCCCTAGTCATATTTACAAACAGGTATTGTTCTTAAAAGAGGGTGTAAGTTCAACTTTCTCTTTTTGAAGAAGTGTAGTGGAAGGTGGATGTGGAACACTAGTGCCATTTGTGTTGGAAAATTTACTTTTCAATTTTAAATTCCAGGAGTTTATGCCACTGCAGTCTGTATTTACCAGTGCTCTTACTAATGATATAGAGAGGGGTCACCTTCTACAACAAACAATGGCATCTCTCCAAGCCAACAAATTTGTACAGGTAAAAATTTATGTTTACAATACACATATTTTTTTAAAAATAGCATACATTTAGAATACAGCTTCTTTTTCTCTCTTTTTTTAAAATGCTCTTGACAGCCTCTACTTGAGAGGAAAAATGAAATGGAAGAAAAATGGAAAGACATAGAAGAACTTTGGAAACAGGAACAAAATAAAGTGGTTAGTACTATTATTTTTAAATATATTTTAGTGATTCTGGTATTATAGTCATCCCATTTTTCCCCCCTTTATTTCCCTCTGCCCTGCTCCCCTTTCCTACCATCATTCCTCCCCTCTTAGTTCATGTTCATGGGTCATACATATAAGGTCTTTGTCTACTCTATTTCCCATACTATTCTTAACCTGTCCTTGTCTATTTTATACGAACCATTTATGCTTCCTATTCTCTGTAACTTTTCCCGTATTCTCTCCCCTTTCCCTCCCCACTGATAAGCTTCCACGTGATCTCATTTCTGTGAATCTGTTCCTGTTCTAGTTGTTTGCTTAGTTTCTTTTTTGTTTGTTTTTGTTTTTGTAGGTTCCTTTGTTGATAGTTGTGAGTTTATTGTCATTTTGCTGTTCATAGTTCTTATCTTCTTTTTCTTAGATAAGTCCCTTTAGCATTTCATATAATAAGGACTTGGTGATGATGAACTTCTTTAACTTGACCTTATCTGGGAAGCATTTGATCTGCCCTTCCATTCTAAATGGAAGCTTTGCTGGATAGAGCAATCTTGGATGTAGGTCCTTGCCTTTCCTGACTTGGAATACTTCTTTCTAGCCTTTGCTTGCCTGCAAGATATCTCTTGAGAAATCAAATGATAGTCTTATGGCAGGGTTCGCAATCTTATTTTCAGCAGGGGCTACATCAGACCCTCAGTTGTCTTCAAAGGGCCGAATGGAATTTTATGACTGTGTAAATGTAACTGCTCCTTAACTACTGGTGAGGAACTTGGTGCTGCTGCTGGATAAAACAAGGTGGATCAGCCCATGAGCCTTGTATTTGCCACCTGTGTCTTATGGGAACTCATTTGTAGGTAACTGCTTTTCTCTTGCTGCTGTTAAGATTCTCTCCTTATCTTTGATCTTGGGTAATATAACTGATATTCCTTGGTGTGTGCTTCCTTGGGTCCAACTTTTTTGGGACTTTCTGAGCTTCCTAGACTTCCTGGAAGTCTATTTCCTTTGCCAGTTTGGGGAAGTTCTCCTTCATTATTTGTTCAAATAAGTTTTCAGTTTCTTGCTCTTCCTCTTCTCCTTCTGGTACCCCTATGATTTGGATGTTGGAACGTTTAAACTTGTCCCTGAGGTTCTTAAGCCTGTCCTCATATTTTTTTATTCTTGTTTCTTCATTCTGTTCTGGTGAATGTTTATTTCTCCCTTCCACTACAAATTGTTGATTTCAGTCCCATTTTCCTCCCCTTCACTGTTGGTTCCCTGTACATTTTCTTTTATTTCATTTAGTATAGCCTTCACTTTTTTCTCTATTTTGTGACCATACTCAACCATTTCTGTGAGCATCCTGATTACCAGTGTGTTGAACTGTGCATCTGATAGGTTGGCTCTCTTTTTCTCACCTTGTTGCATTTTGTCTAGAGCTCTGATCTGTTCTTTCATTTGGGCCATTTTTGTGTGTGCCTGTTACATAGTAAGGGGCAGAGCCTTAGGTGTTCATGGGGGCAGGGCAACACTTGCTGCAGCTTTGTGCTGCTGTATGTAAAAAAGGGGCCAGAGAGGGAACAGTGGTGCTTGCTCAGCTCTCTAGCCAGCTTTCAGTCACTTCCCCCACTACCCACAAGCAAAGTGGGCCTTTCTGGTACTGATTCCCGTGTCAGTGGATTTGTGTACATTCTAGGACCCTGTGGTTCTCTCCAACAAACTCTCCTGTGAGGCTGGGAGTTTCTTCTGCCACCGCAACCCCCACAGGTTTTTTCAGTCACAGGCTTTGAGGCTCTATTTCCCCATACTGGGACCCTGGGTTGCGTGGTCTGTCTCACTCCCCATTCCTTTTTCCCACTTTATCCACATGCAAATGTGGGACCTCCCACTCTGCCAGCTGCCATGTTGCCTGCCCTGATCCTCTAGCTACTGCCTTGCCATGAGTCCTCTCCACCTGGCTGCCCATCTCTGCCCCTCCTACCAGTCTGAATGAATGTTTCTTCTTGAACTCAGTGGTTGTCGGACTTTCATACAGTTCAATTCTCTGACAGTTCAAGTTGCTTTTAGTTTTTAAATTTGTTGTTGTCTTTCTTTGTGTGTGAGGAGGCAAAGTGTATCTACCTGTGCTTCCATCTTGGCTGGAAGTCTAAAATGGTTAGTACTATAATTTGTGAATATCTAAAATTATCTGTAGTACCTAAGCAACTACTCTGGGAGGATGCATATATTACTCCATAGTTTTTCTAAAATGCTGTATTAACTATCTTGCTGAATATACTAAAGAAAGGTATAATTTAGTGTTTCTGTCTTACTTTTTTCTTTGTAGCTTGAAACAGAGACTGCTCTTCAAAAGGCAAAATTGTTATGCACACAACATCAAGATGAATATGAAAAAGCAAAATCTTCCATGTTTCGTGCAGAAGTGGAGCATCGATCCTGGAGTGCCAGATTAGTAAAACATGGCAAGAAGCAGCTGGAAAAAAAGCGAAGGCTAGAAGAGGAGGCTCTTCAGAAAGTAATGATTTTTTTGTTGTTATTTGCAAAATAACAAGCTAAAGCTTGCTTCTCGAACTTCAGCATGTAGCAGGATCACCTGGAAAGCCTGTTAAAAAAGACTGCTGGGCTGTACCCCCACAGTTGCCGGTTCTCTAAGCCTTGAGCTAGCCCCGAACGACTTGGCATTCCTAACAAGTTCCCAGGGGATCCACACTTTGAGAACCACTATGCTAAGGGACTTCAGCTTATCCTTTGAATTTGTGGGTTTGTTTGTGAGAGAAGTTATCACGTTTGAACCTGTGGGTTTGTTTGTAAGAGAAGTATCTTTTTTCTTTTTTTTAAAGATTTTATTTATTTATCTTTAGAGGGGAAGGAGAGAGGGAGAGAAACATCAATGTATGGTTGTCTCTAGTGCATCCCCTGCTGGGAACTGGCCTGCAGGGAATTGGCTTGCAACCCAGGCATGTGCCCTGACTGGGAATCGAACCGTGATCCTCTGGTTCACAGGCCCGTGCTCAATCCACTGAGCTACACCAGCCAGGGCGAGAAATATCTTAAATAAGGCAGTAGTTTAATCTTTTTGACTTGATTCTTTAGTAAGGTCACCTTCTAGGAAACTGAGTGTATATATTCTAATTTTAATACCTGATAACAATGCCAGGCTGAGGCTTTCACATTTATGAAATATAATAAAGTGGACATTTATTTCATAGGCAAGCAACATACTAATTATAAATTGAATGTAACAATTTATTAAAGTGAAGTGCCCTTGAAACTCTGACCAAAAGAAACTATTTACCTTTAGAAATATCCTGTTTAAAACATTAAATATTTCAGAATTTTATAAAGGTTTTTCTATTATGTAAATTGAGCTTTACTGCAGTAGTATTTTTTTAAGTATAGAGTATAAGGACTAATGTTGGGTTTTTTCTGTGTTATTTCTGAAGGTAGAGGAAGCAAATGAATTCTACAAAGTGTGTGTGATAAATGTTGAAGAAAGACGAACTGACCTAGAAATTATTAAAAGAGCAATTTTAACACAACTCCAGAAACTTATTTTCCAGTGTGATCTTACCCTTAAAGCTGTAAGTAATATTTTCAATACTTTGAAGGCAAACAGAAAAAAAGTAATTATCTGCAGGAAAGAGAGATGCTTAGTGTTTCATGATTAAATTAAATCTATAATGCTTATGGAATTTAATATCTGCTGTTAATGGAACATGTAGAGTTTGAAAATAGGCTTTAATTTTCACTAGTGGTATATGGCTTCAGGTACCTTTTTCATCCAGGTCTCCCACTCCCACCCAAAGAACAGAGGATTTGTTTCATTAACATTCACGTCTGAGACTTTGAAATTACCTCTATACTACTGTGTATATATTTGGTTTTCAAATGGATTGGACCCCTGAAAGTTTTATCAGCACTATGAAACCTATTCTTCAAAATTAGAGTAAACTAAATAGTGAAATTGAGCCCAGTAATGTATTTTTCTTAAAGATTTTATGTATGCATGTATTTACTTATTTTAAAGAGAGGGGAAGGGAGGGGGAGAAAGAGAACCATCAGTGCTCAAGAGAAGCACTGATCAATTGCCTGCCCCCATCCAAGGGCCCAGCCCACAACCCAAGCAAGTAGCTTGACCAGGAACCCAACTGGCAACCTTTAGGTTTTTGGGATGATGCCCAACCCACTGAGCCATACCAGTCAGGGTGAACCCAGTAATTTATTTGAAGACAAAACAATCCTGCCCTCAAATGTTTTCATTTGCCTCTTTAAACTTGTTTTTGTAAAAAATTTACCAAGAAAAACACCCTTTCTTGGTTGTATCTTTTATGAGTTTTTACATGTTTCAATGTGTGTAACCACCACCACCATGATAATTGGAATTCAGAACAATTCCATCACTCCAAAAACTCTCCTCATGCTGCACCTTTGTAATCAAACTCTCCACCCACCCCTACCCACTGGCAGTGTTGATGTGTGTTCCATCTCTCTAGTTTGCTCTTTTCAAAAACATAGCTTTTTAGAAAAGTGTTTTATTGATTATGCTATTACAGTTGTCCCATTTCCCCCCCTTTATTCCGCTCTGCCCTGCACACCCTCTCCCACCAATATTCCCTCCCCACCACACCCATCTAGTTCATGTCCATGGGTCATATATATAAGTTCTTTGGCTTCTACATTGTCTATATCATTCTTAACCTCCCTCAATTTTCTACCTACTATCTATGCTACTTATTCTCTGTACCTTTTCCCCCTCTCTCTCCACCTTTAATAATTCCCCCACTGATAATCCTCCCTGTGACCTCCATGTTTGTGAATTTGTTCCTGTTCTAGCTGTTTCCTTCGTTTGTTTTTGTTTTAGGTGTGGTTGTTAATAACTGTGAGTTTGCTGTCATTTTACTGTTCATTTTTTTGATTTTTTATTTATTTACCTTTAGAGGGAAAGGGAAGAAGAGAGGGCCAGAAATATCAGTGTATGCTTGCCTCTCATGCGTCCCCTTCTGGGAACCCACCTTGCAACCCAGGCATGTGTCCTGACTGGGAATCAAACTGCAGTCCTTTGGTTCACAGGCCTGTGCTAAATCCACTGAGCTACACCAGCCAGGGCCACTGTTCATATTTTTTATCTTCTTTTTCTTAGATAAGTCCCTTAACATTTCATATAATAAGGGCGTGGTGATTATGAATTCCTTTTACTTGACCTCATCTGGGAAGCACTTTATCTGCCCTTCCATTCTAAATGAAAGCTTTGCTGGATAGAGCAATCTTGGATGTAGATCTTTGCCTTTCATGACTTGAAATACTTCTTTTCAGCCCCTTCTTGCCTGCAAGGTCTCTTTTGAGAAATCAGCTGACAGTCTTATGGGATAGAAGGAGTAGAGCCTTAGGTGTTCACCAGGGGTGGGCAAACCCACGTGGCTTGTGCTGTGACACTGTATGTGGGGGAGGGGTCAGAGAGGGAACAGTGTTGCTGCTCCACAATCTGCCGGATTTCAGTTACTTCCCCTTCTCCCCACAAGCAAAGTGGGCCCTTCTGGTGCTAGTTCCCATGTGGGTGGGCTTGTGTATGTTCCAGGACCCTGTGGGTCGCTGCACCAAACTCTCCTATGAGGCTGGGAGTTTCTCCCAGCACCTCAACCTCCACAGGTGTTTTCAGTCAGAGGTTTGAGGCTTTATTTCCCCATGCTGGGACCCTGGGTTGTGTGGTGTGTCTCACTTCCCAGTTGTTCCTCCTGGTTTATCTGCATGCAAATGTAGGGCCACCTAGTCCTCAGTTCGCTGCCTTGTCTTTCTTGAACCTCCAGCCACTGCCTTGCTGAGAGTCCTCTCTGCCCGATTCCGCCCCTCCTACTCGTCTGAATTAATATTTTTTCTCGAACTCTTTGGTTGTTGGACTTCCATGCAGTTCAATTTTCTGGCAGTGCTGGTTGTTTTTTGCTTTTAAATTTGTTGTTGTCCTTCATTTGGTTGTTTGGAGAAGCACAGTGTGTCTACCTCCGTCTCCATCTTGGCTGGAAGTCCACACTTTTTGATTTCATTGGTTTTTCCTTTAAAAAAAATATATACTTGAATTGGCTTAATTTGCTTTTGTTTTTAATTACTGAAAGGAAATTTAATTTGTTGGTTGAGACCTCCCTACTTTTTCAATAGAATTTCTTAATGATTTAAATTTCCCTCTTAAACACTGCTTATCTACATAGCACTAATTTTGAAGTAGGTATTTTCATTTGTGTACATTTTAGAATGTTTTCTGATTTACAGTGAGACTTTATCTTTGACCTGTGAATAATGTCGAATTTGTTATTTATGTTCCAAGTATGTGATGATTTTCTGGCTATCTTTCTGATAAGATTTCTAGTTTAAATCTGTTTTGGTGAGAGAAATACTTAGTATGATTTCAGTTGTCTTAAATTTGTTATAGTTTCTTTTATAATTCTGCCTTGGGAACATCCCATGGGTACACTTTAAAAGAATGTTTATCCTGCTGCTGTTGGCTGGAGCGTTTTGTAACTGTCAATAATTCCTGTTGGTTTATGTTGTTAATTATTTCTTTTATGTCCTTTTATGTTGTTAATTATTTCTTTTATGTCCTTGACTTACTTTTCTGAATTACTGAGAAAAGAGCTTTGAAGTTTTCAACATATTGTATATTTTTAGTTCTATCAGTTTTTGCTTTATGTATTTTGAAACTGTTAGATGGCTTTACATTAATAAGTGTTGTAGAGTCTTAGTGAGTTAATTATTTTATCCCTAAGAAATGTTCTTTTTATCTGGGTAATTTTCCTTGCATTTTACTGTACTTTATTTCAGTTTTCTTTAATTTTAACATGGTGTATGTGTTTCCACTTTTACTTTGAACCCATTATATTTAAAGTGAATTTCTTATATATAGTTGTCTTGATTTTTTAAAAATTCTATTTTGACAGTCTCTGTTAAGTGAAATGCTTAGACCATTTATATTTAATGTTAATTGTGTTCATGTTTAGGCCAGCGAGTTCATTATTGATTTTCTGTTTGTACCTTATGTTTCTGTTTACCTGTTTGCCTTTGGCTGCCTATTTTAATTTATATATTTAGTATACCTGGTACAAGAGTGAGAAAAAGTAGGTGTATAGTTGTGAGTATGTGAAACAATTTATTCTTGGGTGGTTTAGTTATTAATCATTATATTATTTATTTGTATAATATAAACCTACATTTGCCCAGTCCTGTATAGATTTGATTTAATCTATCTTATTTCTCTATTACAATTGTATTTTATTTATGTAAAATGCGTATCTACATTTTAATTTATCTATTGGGCCCTGGCCAGTGTGGCTTAGTGGATTGAGCTCTGGCCTGTGAACCAAAGGGTTGTCAGTTCAGTTCCTAGTCAGGGCACCTGGGTTGCAGGCCAGGACCCCAGTGTGGGGCGCACAAGAGGCAACCACACATTGATGTTTCTCTCTCTCTCTCCTTCCTTTCCCCTCTCTCTGAAAATAAATAAATAAAATCTTGTAAAAAAATAATTTATCTGTTGGGTTTTTGACTGTATTTCTTGTATAGTTTTTTTTAATAGTTGGAGTAGGGAGACACATGGTGGGGCATAAGTAGGTTTATAGTTATGAGTATGTGAAACACAGAGTTTATTCTTGTATTATTAATGATTAATTATTGTGTTCTTTGTTGTACAAACAACTGTAAACCTACTTTGCCCCACCCTGTAGATATCCCTGATGGAATCAGAATCTGGTTTTTTGAACAAGATTTCCCACACCATTCCTTTGCATATTAACTTTTTTGAAGCAGTTGTTTATGGCAGTTATAAATAACTTGGTCTAAGTAACCCCGAATATAAGGTGTAAAGCTCTCAGATAAGAACAACCTGGTTGAATGACTTTAGAGCCTGTGCTCTTAAATACTCTGGTGTCTTGCTGAATAATTATTTAGTCTGGGTTTGAGCAACTCCAAAACTAGTGAGATGGTGATATTGATTTTTTTAAAAATCTATTTCCTTATGGACCTTTCAAGTGATACTGTATTAATACAATCTTTCTTCCACAATACTTTAAATATTTAAAACTAATTATTATCTTTCTTCCTTGTTTTTTCCATATTAAATATCACCAAATCTGTGACTTTTCATCATGTAACATGGTTTTAAATACTTTCACGACATACAGTCTTGTCTACATTCCTCTTAAAAAGTGATGCTACTTGACATCCAACAATTATGATTTCTTGTCATTTGATGTGCAAACAATATGATACCTGATTTTGCATATAATGCATATGTATTAATACCTACTAGTTATAGAAAAGAAATCTAAGACAGATACCTGCTCTCAAGGAGTTTAGCATATAGGGGGAGAGAACTAACACATCTGAAAAATTGGAAATCAGTATTTATCAGTGTATGAAATAGACTTTGAAGTTAAAGTTCCCCAAATTTCAACAAACCCCCTAACTCTTGAAAACTACTATAACATGTAGTGTATGGAAACAGTTTATAAAGAGGTTATATATACATATTTGTGAGTAAAATTTCTTGTTAGCTAGAGTTCTTTTGAACCAGTTTAATCAATCAGTTGTAGTTGTTCTGAATGGCATTATTTACATTCAGACCCAAACAGATACCATATCTAACCTCAGTTTTTGAGTCCACACATTATTTACTAGGTAAGAACCATGACTTTCTGTTATGTTTTCTTCTCCTTCATCAAAGAATTTGGGACTTTTGGTGACTTATTTTTCGACTCCACCTTCTAAATTATTTCTGAAACATATACTTTCACTCTAGGACATATCACTGCATCTATATTGCAGAGGAAACAAAACCATTTGAGATAATAAAGATGAAAGACAATGAGGTTCATTCACTATCCTAAGGAATATACTCAAATGAGACTAACATCCCACCAAAACAGTTATATCATGGGCATTAAGGATTATTCTTTTTTTTTTTTTTTTTGCACTGTCTTATTTATTTATTTATTTATTTATTTATTTATTTATTTATTTTTTAAATTGATTATGCTGTTACAGTTGTTCTATTCCCCCCTTCATTCCCCTCCACCCTGCCCCCCCATCCCCACCATTACCCCCCTTTAGTTTATGTCCATGTGTCTCAAGTCCTTTAGGTTCTATATTTCCCATGCTATTCTTGCCCCCCCATCTATTTTCTATCTACTGTCTATGCTACTTATTTTCTGTACCTTTTCCCCCCATCTCCTCCTCCCACTCCCATGTTGCTAACCCTCCTTGAGATCTTCATTTCTATGTTTCCACTCCTGATCTAGCTGTCCTTTTAGTTTGCTTTTGTTTTAGGTGTGGCTGTTAATAACTGTGAGCTTGTTGTTCTTTCACTGTTCATGTTTCTTTAACTTCTTTTTCTTAGATAAGTCCCTTTAACATTTCATATAATAAGGGCTTGGTGATGATGAACTCCTTGAATTTGATCTTATCTGAGAAGCACCTTATCTGTCCTTCCATTCTAAATGAAAGTTTTGCTGGATAGAGCAATCTTGGTTGTAGGTCTTTAGATTTCATGACTTGGAATATTTCTTTCCAGCCCCTTCTTGCCTGTAAGGTCCCTTTTGAGAAATCTGCTGACAGTCTGATGGGGACTCCTTTGTAGGTGATTGTCCCCTTAGCTCTTGCTGCTTCTAGGATTCTCTCCTTCATTTTAATCTTGGCTAATGTAATTATGATGTGCCTTGGTGTGTTTCTTCTTGAGTCCAACTTTTTTGGTACTCTCTGAGCTTCTTGGATTTCTTGGAAGTCTATTTCCTTTGCCAGATTGGGGAAATTTTCTTTTATTATTTGTTCAAATAAGTTTTCCACTGGTGGCTGTGCCTTTCCCCTTCTGGTACCCCTATAATTCGGATATTGGAGCGTTTAAAGATGTCCTGGAGGTTCCTAAGACTCTCCTCATTTCTTTGAATTCTTGCTCCTTGACTCTTTTCTGTTTGGCCATTATTTGCTTTCTTCTGGTCCACTCCATTGATTTGAGTCCCAGTTTCCTTTTCATCGCTATGGGTTTCCTGTGGAATTCCATTCATTTCCATTAGTTTAGCCTTCATATGTTTCTCTAATTTGTGGCTATAATCAACCAGATCTGTGAGGATCCTGATGACCAGTGTTTTAAACTGTGCGTCTGAGAGTTTTGCTATTTCTTCGTCGCTTAGATTTATCTCTGGGGCTTTGAGGTCTTCCTGCGACATTTTTGGTCTGTTCTGGCCCTTTTAAGTGTGAGAAGCGGTGCCTTGGACTCCCAGGTCGCTGGGTTGTGACGCTGTATGTGGAGGCGTGGTCAGAGCGGGGAAATGGCGGCGCCCTCTACCGCCGCGGCCGGTCCAACCGCCCACTCCCTCGCCTGTCCGCTCGCGCGCAAATAGGCAACCGCAGTCAACACGCAGCACCGCCTCCCCACTGTCTCCTCTGCAGTCGCTCACCTGGTGGGTTGCTCGGTCGCTCACTAGGTCCAATCCTGCGTTTGGAACCCGTGCGTCTGGATTCCCGCGTCTGGATTCCGCGCCTGGGTCCGTCCGACCGAGTCCTCCTGTGCAACCCCTCACCAGACGCCGGTTTCGCCCCTTATCAGTCGGGCTGAAGAATTTTTTGTTAACGGACTTCCGAAAAGTTCAATTTTCCGTGTTCTGGTTGTGTTTTCTGATGCTAATATTTAGTTGTCCCTAAACTTGGTTGTGTGAGAAGGCACGGCACATCCACCTAAACCTCCATCTTGGCGGAAGTCAGGATTATTCTTGAATAATCAGAATTGTCTTGAGTAATGAAGTATTGAAGTGTGTGGGATGTAGATCATAATTACACTTCTAAGTGAGCGGAAGAAGGAGAAGTTAGTCACTCAAGACCTAATCAAATCAGTGGGCTTTCTGAATGGGAAAAATTAGAATACGAGTGTTTGTTTTAAAGAACATTCTAGAAAAAGTTTATAATTTTAAAATAAGTATAGGATATAAAATTATATTGAACAAAAATTAATTTTAGACTTTTGCTCATTTACATGGGAGAGACATTCCCCATTTATTTGAATTTATGGAATATTGTATGCCCAACAAGTCCTGCAGGACCTACCCCAAGGGGTGGAATTGTAACAGTTCTGTTAAATGTGGGAGAAGAATGAATAATTTATGGAGAAGAGATTTTAAGATTGGGCTACCTATATCTGAGAATACTGTTGCTTAAGTCTTTTATTATTAAAAATACCCAGAGACATTCAGCAGATGAATTATTTATGCCCATCTATTCATTTCACTTTTCAAATTTTTAGTGACTCATATTTTTTACTAGATTCATGAGGTTTATTAAAAAGTATTAAAACTGTACAGTTACCTTTAGAATCAAGAGTGTGAGTTCAGTCTACCATGAACTGAATTTTCTGATCACAGCTGGTTTCTAGGCTTCAGCTTTACCATTTGCAGTTTGAATATCCTTTGTTCCTTGCAAAAGTTAGAGCACCAATAAGCTATTTTGTTAGGTGCACTTTTCAAATACACCTAACAGAATGTGATGACTCTTAGTACTCCTTGAGGGATGCCTGTCTACCTTGGAAGAGACTTCAGAGTGAATCATAAGTCCAGCATATCATTTGGTATATCCAGAGCGATGAAGAGAAAATATGACAGTCTTTGAAATAACATTAAGCCAGTGACATCTGGCATTCATTTACATTACCCACACAGGAGACAGGGGCATTTGAAAGTATTTCAGATCACAACCACATGGAAAACAGTATGGAATTTTCTCAGAAAACTAAAAATGGATCTGCCGTTTGACCCAGCAATTCCACTTCTAGGATTATATCTTGACAGCCCTGAAACACCACTCCAAAAGAACCTCTGCACCCCAATATTAATAGCAGCACAATTTACAGTAGCCAAGTGCTAGAAGCAACCTAGGTGCCCATCAATAAATGAAATGCTCAAAAAACTATGGTACATTTACACCATGGAATTCTATGCAGCAGAAAGGAAGAATGAGCTCCTACCCTTTGTGAAAGCATGGATGGAACTGGAGAGCATTATGCTAAGCGAAATAAGCTAGGTGGTGAAAGACAAATACCCTATGTTCTCACATTTAACAGGAACCTAATCAACAAAACAAACAAACAAACAAACAAGCAAGTCAAGTATAACGAAAGACACTGAAATTGAGAACAGGCTGACAGTAACCAGAGAGGAGAGGGGAGGGAATTTCAGGGGAACAGGGGAAGGGTTTGCAGGAACAAGTATAAAGGACACATGGACAATAACAACGAGGGGTGGGGGTCGAAACGGGAGAGGGGTGGGGAGGCCGTGGGGGGGGGCTGAGCTGGGATAGGGGTAAAAGGCAGGAAACTGCACTTGAACAACAATTAAAATAAAATAAAATAAATAATAAAAAGTATGTCAGATAATGTTATAGCTCTTAACACTCTGTAGAACCCTCCACTGTCTTCCCTTTGTACTTAAATCCAGTTAAGATGATTTAGATGGCTGCATTCCTTTCTGGCTCTACCTCTTTCAATGTGCTTCAGTCATATTGACCTTTGATCTGTTTCTTGAGTGTGAGAGGCTCTTTCCCACTCATTTTTACCCTAGGATCTTTTGTCTGGATTGGTCTTCTCCCTGGAACTTTTCATTCATAGTTTCTTAGCACTTCAAATGCTGTTTTCTCAGAAAAGCCTGTAGTAACCTAGCATATTAAAGTACCCTTCCATAAACACATATCTGATCATATTCCATAACTTGACAAACTTATGTAATAGTATTAGCAGTTTTCAGTACCAGAAATTGTCTTATTTACTTAATTTGCTGTCTGTGTTTGATGCTCTCTCTCAAACTGTGTGAGGACTGGGATTTCATCTGTTTGCCATAATATACTGAAAGTCTAGGTTTTTGTGAACATTAAATTAGTTAGTTCATGTAAAGTTCTCAGAATAGATCTGGCATGTTATAAGCTCTTGTCAGCTGCTATATTGTTGTTGTAGTTATAACTAGTATTAGTGATAGTATATTTAGACATTTGTAGATACTCAATGGAATATAATATCTTCTGAATAGAGTAAGTTCAAGACAATACCTAATTATAAAAATTGAGTGATCTAGGATACATTATACATACAAAGCATTTCTATTTTTATAGGATTAAAAATGAGAGTCACATAATGGATGTAGATAATTGCGGTCAGAGCATGACAGTAAAGAGCTGGGATCCCCAAAAATTACATTTCTCTCCTAAAATTGTAGGGACAAAAATTGTATTTTTTAACTTTCGTCTTTAAAGTCATTTTGCTGGAAATGATTGCTCCTAGATATTGGATAAAAACTCTCATCTTCTGACCTACACCTTGCACAATGTCAGGCAAATAGTACGCTCACGATGGTACTCAGTGTTGTGTGCTTCACTGTATTGCCTTTCTCTTGGTGCTGTCATTTGAAACAAATGTGTGTTTACATTGCATTCTGTATATCATAAGTTATTTTACCTTTTGTCTCCTTATCTGTGATCATAGGTAACAGTTAACCTCTTCCAAATGCAACAAGTACAGGCTGATTCCCTTGCAAAAAGTTTACAATCTTTCTGTGATAGAGCCAAACTCTATGATCCAGGCCAAGAGTATAGTAAGTTTGTCAAGGCCACAAATTCAACCGAAGAAGAAAAACTTGATGGGTGAGAATTAATGTGTACCGGAAATTGTTTCCAAGAGAAAATTTTTGTTAAGTTTCTATATGATATAAAGTGGTGTGTTTCTTTAATATTGGCAAGATTTGGCAGATTTAACTTTAATTTTTTTCTGAATTTTAATTTAATAAGGTGTAACTCACTTGAGAGTAAAAGAGCTTTTCATTCCTAGAGCTCAGTTCTCTGAGATTTGGAGAATCTCAAATCTTTGGAGAATGACAAATCATAGGCATACCTATTTTGAATATTTAGTACACAAATTTAGCCTACGCTTTCCACAGAGATCATACTAGAAAAGATGAGCCATAACATGAATTGACTTTACTTTTGCTACTCTTTGTTATATTGCAGCTGTAACAAGTACAGATGATTACGTTTTACTTATATCTCCTTTAGGAAGTTGAGCCCTATAATGTGGTTTGTTCTTAATATTGAGTTAAACTACTCTAGTTCATGAAATTAAAATTTTTCTGGAAATAGAATAAAATAGTCTGATTATTAGTCATTCTTCTCAGTGATTCACTTTACTTGGGTTTTTCTTAGGAGTGTAACTAAACCATCAACAAGTAGCTCCCACCCTTCTGGATACGGACCTGCTGACTCCTTAGAGGATGCCGTGGGCCTTCCACACAGATCCAATAAGATAGAAGAGAACAGATGCTCTACCAGTGCAGATGTAACAGGTAGTTTTCACATTAAAAACCACTACTTGTATGAAAGATCAACCTGTTTAAATGTAGTTTAATTAAAGATGTTGTGACCTTGGAATGTAAAAATTAGCCCTTGAACTATAACTTTACGAAGCCTTATTCACAGTTTTAAGCACTGTACTTGTCTTAAAATTGTTTGATTACAGTTAAAGAAAGTTGATTTGTCTCATTTTATATAATGTCAGTATTTTGCCATATGAGCCATCTGAGCCAAGTTGAACCTTAAGTACTTTTTTCTTAAAGGTTCTTCTTTTGTACGGTGGTGGATGTTTGGGATGGTCAGTAACTCCGAGAGCACTGGCGGAAGCAGTGAGTCCAGATGTCTGGACTTGGAATCTATCAGCCCAGGTATAGAAATAAACTTAAGTCTAGCAGTGGAAATTCAGTGAAAGATTAGAATACAAAGATATGTAAAGTTACCTTATTTCTATAATGAATTAGGTCATAAAGAGCAGTATGTACATTTATGTGTACAGTTAAAGAAAAATAATAAGCCATTCTGTATTCACCACCCAGCCTAAGAAACAGAACATTATACTAGTCTAAGTTCCGGTGTATACCTCCTTGATGACATTGCTCTATTACACCAGGAAAAAACCATCATCCTGAATTTTGTTCATAATTCCTCAGCTATTTTAAATGTTTTAGTACCTAATGCTAGTTGAGCTTTGTCCTCTTCACAGTTATGCATGGATGGAATCATGCTATTTTCTGACTTCGTTTTTGTTAAATATATTTTAGTGATAATGCTGTTACAGTTGTTCTATTCTCACCCTTCATTAACCTCCACCCTGCACACCTCCTCCCCCCACCATTCCCCCCCTTTAGTTCATGACCATGTGTATCAAGTTCTTTAGATTCTATGTTTCCCCTATTATTCTTGCCCTCCCCCCTATCTTTTTTCTACCTACCATCTATGGGACTTATTCTCTGTACTTTCTTCCCATCTTCTCCTTCTCCCACTCCCCTGTTGCTAATCCTCCATGTGATCTTCATTTCTATGGTTCTGCTCCTGATCTAGCTGTCCTCTTACTTTGCTTTTTTTTTTTTTTTAGGTGTGGTTGTTCATAGCTGTGAGTTTCCTGTCCTTTCACTGTTCATATTTTTTATCTTCTTTTACTTAAATATGTCTCTTTAACATTTCATATAATAAGGGCTTGGTGATGATGAACTCCTTGAATTTGATCTTATCTGAGAAGCACTTTATCTGTCCTTCCATTCTAAATGAAAGTTTTGCTGGATAGAGCAATCTTGGTTGTAGGTCTTTGGATTTCATGAGTTGGAATACTTCTTTCCAGCCCCTTCTTGCCTGTAAGATCTCTTTTGAGAAATCCACTGACAGTCTGATGGGAACTCCTTTGTAGGGGGCTGTCCCTTTATTTCTTGCTGCTTCTAGGATTCTTTCCTTCCTTTTAACCTTGGCTAATGTAATGATGATGTGCCTTGGTGTGTTTCTTTTTGGATCCCACTTCTTTGGGACTCCCTGTGCTTCTTGGACTTTCTGGAAGTCTATTCCCTTTGCCAGATTGGGCAATTTCTCCTTTATTATTTGTTCAAATAAGTTTTTCACTTGTTCTTCCTCTTTCTCTTCTGGTAGCCGTATAATTCGGATGTTGGAGCATTTAAAGATGTCCTGGAGGTTTTTAATCCTCTCCTCATTTACTTGAGTTCTTGTTTCTTCATCCTTTTCTGTTTGGTCATTTTTCTCTTCCTTCTGGTCCACTCCCTTCATTTGAGTCCCAGTTTCCTTTCCATTACTATTGGTTTCCTGTGCATTTCCCATCATTTCACTTAGGTTGGCCTTCATATGTTCCTCTAATTTGTGACCAAAATCAACCAATTCTGTGAGCATTCTGATCACCAGTGTTTTGAGCTGTGCCTCTGAAAGTTTGGCTCTTTCTTGGTCCCTTAGATTAATTGGCTCTGGGGCTCTGAGTTGTTCTTGAGCCATGTTTTGATCTGTTTGTGCCTGTTACATATGAGGAGTGGAGCCTTAGTTGTTCACCAGGGCGGAGCCACCCAGGTCACTGCTTTGTGATGCAGTATGTGGGGGCATGGTCAAAGAGGGGAAATAGTCGTCCCCTCTGCTGCTTTTCACAACTGGGGCCTGTGCAGTCTCTTCTCACTGCTCACTCCTTTGTAGTTTATCTGCACGCAAATGTGTGACTTCAGTCAGCCTGCCGACTTGTGCCCTCACTGGGTTTGCCCATTGCTACCCTACACCCGGGATCTGGCCACACTGCCTGTGTGCCTGGGTCAGGGGATCATTACTTTGCGACTGCTCTGGTTCTGTCTCTGCCCCTCTTGTCAGTCTGGCTGAATGGTTCCTTGTTGTAGGACTTCTGTGTAGTTCAATTTTCTATGTTTTGGCTGCATTTTTTGTTACTAAAACTTTGTTGTCTTTAAACTTGGTTGTGCAAGATGGGACAGTGTTTCCACCTGCACCTTGATCTTGGTAGAAATATCTATAACATCTTTTATGTGGGTTTTTTTAGGTCCATATTGATCTAAGTAACCATTTTAATTTTATACTGTATACTTTGGATTGTATTCTCTTCTCTGAACATAACTATCATCCATCTTTTGGATTGTTTTGTAATTAATTGCAATAACAAACAGTATAGTTAACACCAATTCTTGTGCCTATGGCGACTTACTAATTTTTTTACAAATGTGCTTTAATGTACTTTGATAATCTCCTGCTCCGTGGAGAGGCAGAGAAGGTGTTTTTGAAGGTTGCCCTCATGGCTCCAAAGAGAATAGCACGAAAGGTGATAGAGCAGGAGAAGGTAGCGCCTGAGCCCAGGGGAATTTTTCTTCTCACTTCTCCACCAAAGAGTGGTCCAGTGCTGTTCTTCTGGCAATGTACCTTCCTCCTAGGATCTTAGCAGTGTGGCAGAGAATGTTATAAGATTTAACCACAAAGTTTAAGGCATTATTTTTTAGTGCTCTACATAGTATAGAAATTAATGTAAATAAATCTCTTGAATTTAAGTTAGAAATAATTTCCACGCAGCACTGGTATTTGTAGGCTTACTTTGTATCTTCCTTTAAAACTGGCTCTGTGGGACACTCTGGAGAAGTGAGCCTAAATATTTAACTGGATATTTGTAATTATCTTTATAAAAACAATGTGGTTCGAGAAATCCCCAGAAATTGAGAGCAGTTCTAGAGGAAACCCTAAAGTATTTGGAATCCTATAAGACGTCGGGTAAATTAGACAAAAATGTGGAAACTGGTCACATGATAAATGGGTGAAGAGCTGAGGACACTTAGCCTGGGGAGGAGGAAGCCTGGGGCTGCAACGGCTGTCCATAGATATTGGAAATGTAAGGGTAGAGTGGGTCTGCTCACTCCTTTAGGGAGACGTACGCCCCGAGACTAGGATTTGTAGAGGCGGGTTTCTGCTCAGTAATGTAAGGAAGCCATTTTACAATTAGAATGGTTCTGAAAATGGAACGTGTGACCTCATGATCTTTCAGTCATTGGGGGCACATTCAGAGGGAAAACTCAGTGACTACCTTTCAGCCTGTTGTTCAGAGGAGTCTTTTGGGGAAGAGGTTGTCAGTTTAAATAATTTATAAAGCCCTACCTTTGAACAACGTAGACTGAAGTGAATTCTTAATTATAACCCTGTTCTCATATCGGCAATGAGCAAATAACCCTCGCTGCCTGGTTGGGCTGCTTCTGCACATGCTCTGTGGCACGTGACTGTGTCCTTTGCTGACATAGCGCATCCTCTGCTCTCGGCTCCCTGTCAGGGATCATTGTTTCTGGTTCCCAGTCTCTTTATTACTGTTGTGTGGCTGAATTTAAAGATTTTTGTGTATTTTACAAAGATTTAGGTTATATGCATTTGTTTATAGCTTAATTCAACAAGCATTTAATGACAACTTTGCTATTATGCGAGTTACTCTGTCAGATGTAGATATAAGATGTGAATGGAAAATACTCCCTGTCTTGGAGAGCTTACAGTCTCCAACACTGACTGTCAAAAATGGACAATTAAGGTCTCATTGGGACGTGTGAGCATCACTTTTACATTTGTCAGGAAGAGTCAGTTTGCGTTCTTTGGTTCCCAGGAATAAATATCAGAATTTCTTGTATCCAAAGTCTGAGAATGGAAGCAGGTTTTTTACATTGTAGCTAATAAAATTTATGACTATGTTATTCGAAAGATGTTACCTTTTTTAAAAATTCTACAGTTCATGGTCAAGTAATTATATTCATAATTTCTTTTAGGAGACTTTCACCAAAAACTTCCACAAACTCCATCCAACGGAACAATGTCTTCTGCGGACGATCTGGATGAAAGAGAGCCACCTTCCCCTTCAGAAGGTGGGATGACACCTTCTAACTTAAATTCAAGAGATTTATTTACATTAATTTCTATATTATGTAGAACACTACATAGGGTTCTACACTCTGAATATCCCTGAATCAAGCTCTCACTAAGCCAATTGAATCAGTAGCACTGCATGGTATTAGGAAAACAGTATAATTCAAAGAATTACTTTGCTATGTATTAAACAAAAAGCATTATAATGATACATATATCCAATATATCCCAATAAATTATGTACAAGTATGGGTTGATAATATATTAATGAAATGCTACAAATACAAATATAAGCAGCAAAACTGTTAGATCTAAAATGTGTTAGCACGAAGCACTGGCCATTGTGGCTCAGGTTGGTTGGAGCATCTGTGTATACACCAGAAGGTTGCGGGTTCAACTCCGAGTCAGTGCACATGCCTAAGCTGCAGGTTCAGTCCCTGGTCAGAGTGCATATGGGAGGCAACCAACTGATGTTTCTGTTCTCTCTCCTTTCCTCTCTGTCTAAAATCAGTAAATATCTTTAAAAAAATAAAATGAAAAATAAAAATGTATTAGCATGGTGATAAAATAGACTAGACATTTTGATCTTTCATGAACCTAACATAGTGACTTAAGTGTTAAAAGGGTTGCCATGCGTGAGCAATTCTGAGAAATCTTCTTCAAAAGAAACAGAGCAAGGAGCTAGGCAAGAAGATGAAAAAAGTATACTTCTTGAGGACAAGGAAAGCTGTAGTTGTCGAAGGATATAAAAGAGAAGTCTGTTACCATAATGACTTGAATTAGACTCATAGAAATTAGTTTTTTTTTTTTTATTATATAAAAAATATTAGTTTTATTTCCCCCCCCCCCCCCCCCCCCCCCCCTTCTCTTCCCCTCCTCCCCTCTTTCCACCTTTCCACTTTTTTTTTGTTTTTTTTTTTTTTGTGGTGTGTTTTTTTTTTTTACTTTTTGTTGTTGCCCAAAGGAAAGAACATACACTTGAAATTTCCAGATAGCTATTTTGGCATCATCTCCTAAAATAATACGGAACATTTGCCTTCCAGCAGGATATTCATATATTACTAGCTAGTATTACCTAGGATTTTATAATGACTTAAGAATAGCTTTATCCTTAATGTGGGTAATGCTGATGACACAGTAACCTGATACAGCTAATTTTCTTTGAAGCTTTTATAAAGGGGGCATTTTCTAAGAATGTAATGCCACCTACGTAACGCCTCAGCTCAGCAACGGGCATATTAATGGTAGGGTTACCGTTCTGATCCTGAAAACATGACGTATTATTTTAGAAGTATCTTAACTGGTTGAGTGGTGACTTTTACTCGTCCCTAAAATGTTTGATTAGCGTGTGCCTTATAAGAGATTTCTAAATTAGATCTTTATTTGGATGTTACCAATTCAGAATAATAGCTTCTTGTAATATAGAATGATTACAAAGTCTAAAGATTTTTAAAACTATACTATATTGTGGAAAAAGTTTGTCATCTTATGATTCTTATGTAAATTTTTATTTCTATTACAAGTACCCAATTCAGTTGGGATATGCAAGAAAACATTGATGTCAAAGGCAGCTCTCACTCACAAGTTTCGCAAATGGAGATTCCCCTCGAAATGTCGGAATTGTGAAGGCATCGTAGGATTCCGGGGTGTTGAATGTGAAGAGGTAAGATTTTTCTAGAATTACATTAGCCCCTTAAACTTTTTGTTTTATATTATTTTGTTATTACTGTAACCACAGTGCACCTTCTACAGTTTTATATTTCATTTTGCTATTAAATGTATTTCAGACACTGCACGTAATACCTTTTAAATGTATTTTTATTGTGTTGCCCCTCTGTGTCTAGTTTTTCCATAATTGAACCAGCTTTAAACTATTATTTTTATTTTTATTTTTATTTTTTTAGTGTCTGCTTGTTTGTCACCAGAAGTGTTTAGGAAATTTAATCATTATTTGTGGCCATCAAGAACTTCCGGGAAAAACACACTTATTTGGAGCAGAATTCATGCAGCTTGCAAGAAAAGAACTAGATGGCATCCCTTGTATACTCAAAATATGTGTCTCAGAGATTGAAAGTAGAGCCTTGTGTCTACAGGTACGTCGGAAGTCTTAAAATCAAAGTTTTAAACATACATCCTTGTGTGATTTGTTCTCATGATAAGGAGACTTTAAAGGAAAACAGTGCTCTCAATGTTTAATAAGTCACTGATTTTATTTAGATTTGTTTGGAAAATATTACCTTACTTCACCCAAGTTTTTTTAAAGTGTTAATAAAAATTGAAGTAGACACATCCAATATATTTAGATGTCCACATTTAGCTGTTGTACTAAAGCAGAATTTTACAATATTTTCCCCCTTTCCTCTCAAGGGTATCTACCGTGTCTCTGGAAATAAAATAAAAACGAAAAAACTCTGTCGAGCTTTGGAACATGGAATGCACTTGGTAGACATTTCAGAATTTAGTTCACATGACATCTGTGACGTCTTGAAATTGTATCTTGGAAAGGTAAAAGTTTTACCCTTGAAACCTACTGTTAACTAGAAGACAGCAAAAGTGATTTATATTTTGCTGATTACATTTGCTACACATATTTTCATCGACATAGACCATATTAATTTTTTTGTCCTTAACGTGTATCAAAATGTACATAAAAATATGTAAAGTGTACAGACAAACACATTTTCCATCACCTTAAGGAAATAGAACATTACTATATTTTTTAAAAGGTTTTGTGTGCCTCTCCCCATTGCGGCCTGTAACCCCACCCCAGTAATCTTTGTGTAACCGTGTTAGTAATTCCCTCTTTTTTTTAACATACCTGTTGTGGGTTCCTGAACAGTTTATCATTAAGTTTTAGGAAGCTAAGCAGAAAGCATAGAATCTCACTATGTAAGGGAAGGCTATTGATTCAGTAAGAACAGTGTGTTGGAGGACTTCCGCCAAGATGGAGGCATAGGTGGAAACACTTTACCTTCTCACACAACCAAGTTTAAAAACAACAAAGTTTTAGCAACAAAAACGCAGCCAAACCACGGAAAATCGAACTATATGGATGTCTGGCAACAATGAACCCCTCAGCCAAACCGGTAAGAGGGGCAGAGCCAACCGCAGAGCTGGGTCTGGCAGGAAAGACCACGGAACCAACCTGGGTGCTCGACCCAAGAACGCCAGCAGCTGTGGTCAAATCCCAGATGTGGAGTAGCAGCTGGCAGACCCACTGAGGGCACAAGGCAGGGGACCCACTGAGGGCTGACCAGTCACACATTTGCACAGATAAACCATAAACCAGTGAAGGAGCGAGCAGTGAGACGGACCTCTCAGGCCCCAGCTGCAGGAAGCAGCAGAGGGAACTGCCATTGTCCTCCTCTGACCCCGCCCCCACATACCAGTGTCACAAACCAGCAGCCTGGGTGGCCCCTCCCTGGTGAACAACTAAGGCTCCCCTCCTCATAAGTAACAGGCATGAACAGATCAAAACATGGCTCAAGAACAACTTAGAGCCCCAGAGCTAATAAATCTAACTGACGAAGAAATAGCAAAACTTTCAGAGGCACAGTTCAAAACACTGGTGATCAGGATTCTCACAGAACTGGTTGATTTTAGTCACAAATTAGAGGAACATATGAAGGCTAAACTAATTCAAATGAAGAGAATTGCACAGGAAACCAATAGTGATGAAGAAGAAACTGGGACTCAGAATAAGGGAGTGAACAAGAAGGAAGAAAATAATGGCCAAACAGGAAAATATGAAGAAACAAGAACACAAATAAATGAAGAGAGGCTTCGCAACCTCCAGGACATCTTTAAACGTTCCAACATCCGAATCATAGGGGTACCACAAGGGAAAGAGGAAGAGCCATGAGTGGAAAACTTATTTCAACAAATAATAAAGGAGAACTTCCCCAATCAGGCAAAGGAAATAGACTTCCAGAAAGTCCAGGAAGCTCAGAGACTCCCAAAGAAGATGGACCCAAAGAGGAACACAAAAAGGCACATCATAATTATATTAGCCAAGATTAATGTGAAGGAGAGAATCCTACAAGCAGCAAGCGATAACAAGACAGTCACCTTCAATGGAGGTCCCATCAGACTGTCAGCAGATTTCTCAAAAGAGACCTTACAGGAAGAAGGCCTGGAAAGACGTATTCCAAGTCATGAAATCCAAAGACCTAAATCCAAGATTGCTCTATACAGGAAAGCTTTCATTTAGAATGAAAGGACAGATAAAGTGCTTCCCAGATGAGGTCAAGTTAAAGGAGTTCATCATCACCAAGACCTATCATATGAAATGTTAAAGGGACTTATCTAAAAAAAAGAAGTTAAAAAATATGAACAGTGAGAGGGCAGCAAACTCACAGTTATGAACAACCACACCTAAAACAAAAGAAAACTAAGAGGACAGCTAGATCAGGAGCAAACCATAGAAATGAAGATCACATAGAGGGATAGCAAAAGGGGAGTGGGAGAAGGAGAAAGGGGGAGGAGGTACAGAAAATATGTAGCATAGACGGTAGATAGAAAATAGATACAGGGGAGGGCAAGAATAGCAGGGGAAATATAGAATCTAAGGATCTTGGGACACGTGGTTATAACGAAAGGGGAGAATGGTGGGGAAGGGGGCATGCAAGGTAGAGGGGAATGAAGTGGGGGTAATAGAACAACTGTAATGGCATAATCAATAAAATATATTTTAAAAATAAGGAAAAAATATAGTGTGTTGGTCATAGACATGTTTTATCTCCATTGGTATTTGTAAAATAGCTGCTTTGGGAGGTCACTGGGCAAGGTTATGAATGTGTCCTGACACCCCAAGTTCACCACACGTGGGGTGTCAGGCAAGACTATCCTATAAGCTGCGCACTGGAAGTTCAGCAGGAATATGGTCCGGGAGTGGGCTGCTGGGTGTTTTCTCTTTCTGTGCTCACTGTGAACCTGCAGTTGCAGAATTAAGTCCACAGAAAACACTTCAGTGGGGTGAAAGAAGTGGCCTTCATGGCTTCAAGGAGCAGCTCTTGGAAGGGTCATTGGAACCATGAGCACATTGGCATGATGAGCCAAGAATTAAAAATGACCTAGGCCAAGCCCAGCTGCCTTGTGTCCCCTGGTGAAAACGAAGAGACAGTTGCAGAGGTGACCACAGTCCTTAACATGTTGCTCTCCAGTGTTGTGTTCTCCAGCTGTTATCCTGGGACCTTTCCTCTCCACGCTCTTCTCATTTGTGAGGAAACGCCTTGTTCTGAATTGGTTTATTCTTCTGGTTTAGTCATGCCCATCTCCTGAGCAAGGCGGAGTAAGAGTACATACTGGGTTGGCCAAAAAGTCCATTTAGTGTTTGCCATGAAAGACACATTTTTCATTTTTCACCAATGCCTTGATTGGTCTGGATACTTTGAGTATGTCAGCTGTCTCCTGGGTGGTATAACGTTGCTTATTCTCAGCGTGTCGGTTTGATCACTATCAACCTCAGCGAGTCTAACTGACTGTGGAGCATCGTCCAGTGAGAACTCCGCAGCCCGAAACTGAGCGAACCGCTATTGACACATTCCATCAGGCCCAGTACCTTCTCCATATACAGCACTAACCTTCTTTGTTTGTTTGCTTTTGCCTTTCTTGAAATAATAAGGCCTAGTACACTGAAATGTTGTGTATTTTCTTCCATGTTCAGTATTAAAATGGCCACACAAAAATTCACCAATTTTGATAAATTTTTTTAAACACATGCTGGTAGGACAGCTGTCACAATACAATCTAACAAAAGTGTGTCAAAATGAAGTTAAAGACAACTAAGCACTACTGGAGCCATGTTACGGAAAAAAACAAATGAACTTTTTGGCCAATCCAGTACTTGAAAGCTTATTTATCTGTCTTTACTCTGTTTTCTTGTTGGGAATGGAAGAGTGTGGATGGTGTGGGAGATCATAGTATTCTAGGCTGGAAGTTACTTTTCTTCAGAATTTTGAAGGTATTTTTCTTGTTCTCTTTGAAGCCTCAGATCCTCCTCATTCTTCACTGTATGTGGCCTATTTTTCCTCTCTGAAAGCTTGTAGAAACTTCTTTTCTCCCTACTCTAAGATTTTGCAGTAAGGAGCCTTGATGTGGGTGTTTGCGCTGTTCCAGGCCCTCTGTGAGCTCCATCATTCTCCTTACTTGTCCTTCAGTTCTTGGAACTTTTCATTGCTCACTTTCTCCCTCTGTTTTCTTTCTGAAACTTCTCTTTGGATATTCGATCAGTTGAACTGGTTTTGTAGGTCCTTTTTTTCTACTGTTCATTATTTCTGGTTTTGTTTTCTTTTAACATTTTCTAAGATTCCCTAAGTTTTTCTTTTATCCCTACCATAACTATTTCATTTCTAAGGTCGAGTTTACATTTCTAGGAACTCTGGTTCTCTCTCTCCTGGGGCATTCTTTCTTTTTTAATGAATACAGTATATTACCCAGTGGAAGATATTCATGGCTTTTTTAAAGAGGGTGTTTTCGCCCTGGCTGGTGTAGCTCAGTGAATTGAGCGCGGGTCTTCGAACCAGACAATCGCGGTTCGATTCCCAGTCAGGGCACATGCCAGGGTTGCAGGCAGGTTCCCTCCAGGCCAGTTCCCAGCAGGGGACGCACGAAAGGCAACTGTACATTGATGTTTCTCTCCCTCTCTCCTTCCCTTCCCCTCTAAAGATAAATAAATAAAATCTTCAACTAAATAAAAAATTTAAAAAAAAAAAGACGGTGTTTTCCTCTGCTTAGCCTCTTGCCCTATCTAGTATAAATATGTGTGCCCCATGTATGGTGTTAAAGTTTCTAGTAGCCACATAAAAAGAGAAAACAGGTGAAGTTAGTTTTAATATTTTATTTAACATTGAAAATATCTGTGCATGTAATCAATATTTTGAAATTGTTAATGGGCTCTTTTACTTTTTGTTGTTATTGTTACAGAGTCTTTAAAATGTGGTGTGTGTTTTTCATTTGAAGCACATGTCAGTTTGGACTGGCCACGATTCCACTGCTCAGTGGAGCCCAGTGCAGCTGGTGGCCTGCATTTAGTCAGTATGGTTACAGACCTTCAAGTTGTTTTTTTCCTACCTGTTTTGATTTGTCTTCCTGGGTCATCTGCTTAAAATGAGAGCTGGGAATTGAAATGTCTTAGGAAGCTTTTGGCTATAAGAAGGCTTTGAAGATTTGAGCTTTACTGTGATATGATCTAGGTGGGATGTTTGGGAAACACCTGATGTCTGTATCTCTGGGTCTGTTCTTAGGCTGATCATTCCCCCAGAGAAGGGCCTTTTCCTGCCCAGAGGTGTGGTGCCAGGCTTTGAGAGCCAAGCAGGGTGAGGAGGCTCTGGGATCCCTGCATTCAGCATGCATACATCTACTAAATTGCTGTCTTTAGATAGTTGCTCATTTGTCTCTTGTGCTGCATTTTGCCCATCCAGACAACCCTCAGTTTTACACTGCACAGAGAAGAAATGTCCAGGCTTCTGAGCCAGAGGTTGCTCAGGAGCATGGGATGGAGACAGGGATCCAGAGAGCAAATGCTTCTTGGACAGCCCACCCTCTTTCAGAATTAGAGGACCTCATGCTGCCCTCGGGTCTGCTTAGTATCCTGCTAACCATGTTGGGTTTCAATTGGAATTGCAGCTTTCTCGGGCCTGCTAAGTCAGCACTTGTTATCTGCTCTTCAGCTACAAATGTTGGACCTACTTTGTTAGCCCAGGAAACTGGTGGTATCTCTCTAGTGATATTTTACAGGATTCTCAAGTGGAAATTGGAAACCAATTACCTTTGAATGACTGTAAATTTCAGTCAGTCATCCTTTATCTCTTTTAGCCAGTCAGGGAGAGGAAATGAATGTGGTCCAATACTATCAGGCCTTATCCTGTCTTGGGAATTTTACATGACGAAGACTTGGGTGTGGGAAGCCACACTCAAATTTACAGGATTTGAATCAGATTCACGTTAGAGATCACATCTGTAGCAAATATATGTACATTTCTAAATGTACATGTTGACCTTAAGTCTTGTTACTCTAAAGGTACATGCTAAACCATTCAGTAGCTCTTACAGAATATTAATGAGGGGAAAGGACAGAATAATATTTCTAACGTGACCTTCTTTCTTTAGCTCCCAGAGCCCTTTATCTTATTCCGATTGTACAATGAATTCATAGACCTTGCCAAAGAGATAGAACATGCAAATGAAGAACAAGAGACAAAAAAGGATGGTCTCGAAGACAAAAAATGGCCAAGTGCAAGTATAGAAATAAATCGAATTCTCCTAAAGAGCAAGGACCTTCTGAGACAATTGCCAGCATCCAATTTTAACAGTCTTCATTACCTCATCATGCATCTTAAGCGGTAAGAACTTAGTATAAGAAGAGTATCCATTAGTAGATGGATAATTGATCAGTTTTTATTCATTTGCTTTTTAACTGTAGTAAAACACACATAATTACCATCAGTGTCATTTTTATTATTTTTAAAAAGATTTTATTTCTTTATTTCTAGAGAGAGGGAAAGGGAGAGAAACATCAATGTGTGGCTGCCCCTCACACATCCCTCACTGGGGACCTGGCCTGCAATCCAGGCATATGCCCTGACTGGGAATCAAACCAGTGACCTTTTGCTTTGCAGGCCAGTCAGTACTCAATCCACTGAACCACCCTAGCCAGGGCTTTAGTCATTTTTAAAAGTACAGCTTAGTAGTATTAAGTACATTCACATTGTTGTGCTATTATTTTTAAATGAGCCTTTCATTTCTAATATGTGTGAGGGAAAGGGAGATAAAGAATGTGTTCATGCAGCCAATAGCTTTCCCTCGGTGCCTCCTAGGTGCCAGACTCTGCATGGGAAAGCAAGAATGAAAACATAGAGTTCTTGTGATCTCTTCTGCTTGTCAGTTTGCGGGGCAGACCTGCAGACAAGTGCAGAGCAGTGTCATTCATGTTCTAATGGAGCCATGTACCGCATGCAGAGGCAGAGAGGGGAGGGGGAGGCTCCCAGATCAGAGAAGGATGTCCTGAGCCAGGCTTGAAGAACTAAGTAAATAGTGGTTCAGCAACAGAGAATGTGCAGAAGAGCATTCCTGGCAGGGTAACAGACACAGAGACATAAGAAACCATCTTGCCTTTGGGAAGAATAAGTAATTTGGTCAGGCTCGGCTATAACACGCACTAGCAGGGGTGAGCTAGGTAGAGGCCTGGTAAAGAAAATCTTCCACATCTGGCAGATGACTTGACCGTCTTGCTTCTGTACGCACTATAGAATTCTGAGCCAGGAATTTCCCGTGCTTAGATTTGCCTGTTAGATCTTTCTGGCAGCAGTATGGAGAATGGTCTGGAGGAAGGACCTTCACTGCAGTTCAGATTTCCTTGAATAGCCATAGGAATAAAGGGTGATGAGAGCTTGAAGTAAGGCCACAGCAGTGGGGGTGACAGGAGAGCAGAGAGATCCTTAGGAAGTGCCATCAGCTCGGCCTGAAGACTAGCTGTGAGCAATGAGAGAGAATTTGACAACAGTTTTGGAGTTTCCAGCCTAGAGACCTACAGCTTTGGGGGTTGTGTTTTTATTTTTTGTTTTTAATTTCCACTGGTAAAACCCTAGAAGTCCCTTCTACTTACTTAAATGATATCCTGACTGTAAAACTCAACTTGGTATGTGGTCAACATTTAATCAAATGAATACATTCTTTTCTTGGACTTTTGTAGCTCGATTTTTCTGCACCCTTCCCCACCCATAGTTAACTATGATCAAGGAAGTCTAACAGGCAAATCTCATAGAGCTTGATGTGTTCTACTCTGCAGAGTCGTTGATCATTCCGATGAAAACAAGATGAACTCCAAAAACTTGGGGGTGATTTTTGGACCAAGCCTCATTAGGCCAAGGCCCACAACTGCTCCTGTGACCATCTCCTCTCTCACTGAATACTCAAACCAAGCGCGGCTGGTAGAGTTCCTCATTACCTACTCCCAGAAGATCTTTGATGGCTCTCTGCAGCCACAAGACGTAGCTATGTGTAGTACAGGCGACGTTTCACCCCAGGTGGATCAAGGCTGCCATCCAAAGCCTCTACTATCCCCAGAAGATAGAGACCCAGAACATTTGACGAAGTCACTCTTTTTCTCCTCAAAGGAAGTGAGTTTTGTTTGTCCTTTATGGAATTGTGGTGGAACTTTGTAATGTTCATGTTAAGTTAAAAACCTTTGAACTGCTTCTTGTGAAGTATGTTTTGCTTCAAGTTTAAAACTTCTCTCCCGCCCACAGGATATGCACAGTGCAGACGGTGAGAACAAAACTCTTGAACCAGTTGCCTCGTTTGAGGAATCGGAAGGAAAGCAGGATGCATCAGAAGAGTGGGATGCGTGTCTCATTGGTGAGTGGTCGTGTGCCATGCCTGTTTGCTGACCTAAAACTATGTCAGTGAACCATGATTAAAAGCCAAAACATTTAGAATCCTAAAACTTCTAATTTTTAATGCTTTACTTGTCACCTGCCTTTAACACATTAAGCACATGTATGTGTATGTATCTCTTTTTTTCCTCGTTTCTTGACTTCAGTTACTTTATTCACTGATCATTTTAGTTGCAGTGATTGGTAACTATCAGCTGGTGGAAAGTCTTCCATTTATTACTGTAATGCTATACATTACCAGAGCTGACTTCCACTTTTTAAAATTTCAGGCATACATGTTAAATTTAATGTGTAATCAAACAGCAGTGACATAGCCTGACCGGGTCTAGAAAGTAGGGGAGCTAAGTTTCATTAAGTTCCTGCCTGCTCTCTGCTAAGCACTGTGCATATTGTTTTGATTTCATTTATCTGATTTAATCTTCATAACAGTGCTGTGATGTAGATAGTACTGCTCCATTCTGCCATAGCTTAGTAGTGTGAGACAGGTGAGATCATGCCGAAGATCACGCCCCTAATAAATAGCACAGTCTGTAGTTGAACCTCTGTGTGTGTTATTTCACTATCCCATGAGCTAGGGCTCCCAACTGGAATAGTTCTTTAGTGTCGTTTCTGAGTGCCGTTGTGTTCCAAATAATTCTGAGCACTTTTCATGATTGAATCATTAAGCCATACATCAACATAGATCCGGTTATAATTCTCTCTTGACAAATGGAGACCTGAGGGACAGTAACATCTCCTTGCCCAGTGCAGAAATGCTGGAGCTGAGCTAAACCCAGCAACCAGGCTACAGAGTGTGCACTCTGACCATTCGGCTGTGGGTGCTTCCCTCCGATCTTGGGAGTGTGCTTTGGTTGATGTCTCCAGCCTGAACACAATGAGTCAGGCCCCCTAGAGTGGTCTGTAATTGTGGGCATGGAAACCAATGAGTTGTTGCTTAGGAAGGCCAGGGAAGAGAGGTGGGCGGTTTCAGCTGAGGAGGGAGGGCCTATGGGATGACAGCTGACAGATTCTGATGGGCACCTGTCAGCAGACCACTGCCCAAAACAGGAACATTAGACAACGGGCCGAAATCTTCCGGAAATGAAAATTTTTTAAGGGAGACATAGCAACAAGGATCATGGCTTAGTGGAATTCAGAGTTCTAGTTTGAGAAGACATGGGCCGTGGGTGCAGGCTTGATAGGAAAGAGAAGAAAGTCAGTCTGGGAATAAACAGTAAATGGAGTGAATGTCAATTTTTCCCTCACAGTAAAACTATCAAACCTTAATTGGATGGGATGAATGGTATAGTCCGTTTATTTGTTGACCAGATTGAAAGCCATCTAAAGCATTTCATAAAATGTGCTGTGACTGTTGGGTTGAGTGTGACTGTAAAGCAAAGTAGGGAGTCGGTGAAAGCATCGGGATTCAAGGGCACACCTGTGTTTGGCTGGCCTGTAAATTGGTGTAACTGTTCTGAGCTGCATTTATGAATGTCTGTCTGCTGAAATCGTGACAACCCTTTGACCCAGCAATTACTTGTTCATTCATGCACAGCACGTAACTTCAGCAAGTGTTTTCTTTTTGTTTTAACGAATCTGCACTGAATCTTTGTAGCTGTTTATTATATTTATTTCAGTAAGTATAAAATTGTAACCTTTTTTTTGAGTGTCTACCTTTAAATTCTTCTGCATGGCCCTGACCAGGTAGCTCAGTTAGAGTGTGTTGCCCCAGTATGCCAGGGTTGTAGGTTTGATCCTTGGTCAGGGCACATACAAGAATCAACCAATTAATGCATAAATAAGCATAACAACAAATTGATGTATTCTCTCTCTTCTTCTTCTCACTCTAAAATCAGTGGCTAAAAAATGTTTTGAAATACTCCTCTAAGTAGATAACTGAGACTAACTTGGGAAAATTTAAGACCATTATTGTTTTGAGAGCATGTTTGTGTGTAACTCATGCAGACTCCTCCTGTTAAGCAGGTGTCAGGAAGTTTGATGTTCAAATAAATCTGTTCCTTTTTCAGACAACAAAGTGCGTTTGCTTGCAGACCAAGGACTTGAGTCTGTACCAGAAAAGACGGAAGATGTTTGTAAAATCTCCAGGCCATTTACTCTGAAACCTGATAAGGAAACAAACAGTGCTGTTGAGAGGGGTACTCGAAGGGCCAAGAGTAGACCTGTAAGTTTGCCTGTGGATAGACTGCTGCTTCTTGCAAACCCTCCTCATGAGAGAAATGGCAGAAATATGGGAAATGTAAACTCAGACAAATTGTGCAAGAATCCTACCTTTGACGGAGTTAATACCCCTACTCTTTGTTGCAAATTTGATGGCTTTGACCAGCAAACTCTTCAAAACCCTGGGGAGAAACAGGATGAACCTAATGGCCTAAATGCAAAGATGGCACTGATTGTGCCCAGTGCCCTCCGGGAAGGAGGAGTGACGACGAGCATCAGGATCAGTGGGGACCATGTGGTCAGTGCCACCCAGCCCAGTAAGCCGTGCCCAGAACCAGTCAGGTCAGCAAGACAGGTGTCGGAGGGACGGTCCTCTGACTCCTGCCCTGCTGCCCCTGTCAGAGCGCCCAGAACACTGCAGCCCCAGCACTGGACAACGTTTTACAAACCACATGCTCCCACTGGTAGTGTGAGAGGGGCTGAGGAGAAACCTGTGGCATCCTCCCCCAAAGTGCCTCCTGGCTCAGCTCACACTTGTCGGGAGCATGTGCTGAAATCAATGTCAGACTCAGAAAACGCACCAGCTCCTTGTCCCTTGCAGCCCACAGGTAAACCTAAGGAGAACTGCGAGGAGCATGACTTGCCCAATGTGCACCCGACATGTCAGAGACCAAGGCTTAAGCGAATGCAACAGTTTGAGGACCTGAAAGATGAAGCCCCACAGTTTGTGTAGGGGTGTCAGAATTCAGCTTCTCCTCTATAGTTGTTTTGTTTTGTGGTATTGTGTTTGTTTTGTGAGAGAATTTTGACAAGGCCCCTTTTGTATAGGATTGCCAAAGTGTGGATTTTGCTTTTCGTCATTGTATGTGTTACCCTGTGTTGGGTGTACTGAACTCTAGAATGTTGTGATAGGGCCGCATGTGTGTCTCACTGGAATTATCTGTATTTTTGAAGTTGTGCATAAGTAGGCAAACTGATATTTGTTAAAGTTTATTTGATTTTCTCCATAAAGTGGTCCATTCAAATGCATCCCTAATATATGACGTAGTTCTCAACTAATAGCTGCCATTGGGGATAATCGTCTTTATTTTTCTGAAATAAAACTATGTGCTTATTTATAAAAGTAATGTTCCTGAATGCAAGTGCCTGAAAGGTCTTTGTTTGGTATGATATTTTAAAAGACAATTTTATAGTGTGTCTTTGACCATTGTGCTTTTTACGGTATGTATGCAACCTTTTATTTTTCAGTTGGCAAGTTTTTTTTTAATTTACATCATGGCCAGAAAGCTTGCAAATCTATATTTAATTGCATTGCAATTAATTGCCAGATTTACAAGTGGTAGTGAGTTAAATTTTACAAAGAAAATGCACTTAAACCTGTTTTTGAATTACATAGTACAGTTATGTCTTATTTGGCTTTAAATGGTTTTAATACAGTTAATGGTTTTTTATGTTTTGGTTTTTTTCTACATAAACTTTTGTTGTTCAGCAGTTCTGAATGTTTTGGTATTTTATATAATGGACGAAAAATGTTTTAAAATTTAATGCATTTCTTCTTCATATTGTTGAGGTTTAAAAAACATTTCTTTTGTATGAAACGTTTTTACTTTTGAATAATTTTGTGTAATTTGTCTACCTGGACTTTAACCATTGACAATGTATGTTTCATATGAATTGTGCAAAGATTTATTTAAGTCGACTGTGAGTGTAGTTCAGTAAGCCTTGTTGTTTGGAATTTGAGAGCAAGTATAGATGGTTGGATACATTTCATGTATAAATTTCCCAGTTTTTAGAACTAAAAACTGCTGTCTGAATTTTGTCATTTTGCCTAAAATTGGATATAAAGGGAGAGAAAAGTAGCCTTTTGTATGTATGAATTCTATTTGTAATACATGCTTTTGTATGAGAATATACTTTATAAAATATATGTTAATCTGTTAAATTATTTTATGTTCTTTGGCTTCTTTGAACTGGTTGCCTCTTAGTGGATGAAAGTTGAAGGTTTATTAGTCATTGGCTTAGTGATCAGCCCTTGGGCTCATATTCCCCTTGACTTAGTACAATGTGGAATGTATTTTATGGGAAGTTTCTGTATAGTTTTATGTAACAACCTTTTGTGCCTAGGCCTTGTTTTTAGTCTTCATTGTACAAAATATAAAAGAATAGTATGGCTGCAAAAACCTACAAAGAAAATAAGAGGCGACAGTGATTGAGCCATCTCTGTGTGCCATGAACTGTACTGAGTTCCTACATAAATCACTTCAAGTTGACAGCAGCCTGTAATGGGTGGGAACGTATTTCATTTTTCCCATGTTACAGACGAGGAAGCTGAGGCTTAGTTAAATGGTGTGCCCTGGGCCCAGGACTCAGACACAGGGCTCAGAGTCTGCTGGTTACTACCCTTAGTGGTGTACAATTACTAAGTAACAAGGTCAGGTAATGTTTAACAATAGAAGATTTACTTTTGGTGGCATTAAGTATATTCACACTTTTTGTAACTGTGACCACTCTCCATCTCCAGAGCATCCCATACTGAAACTTAGAAAGTGTACTTGTAAACCCCTTCAGTTTTCTTTTTACTTCATGGAGACAACCCAGTGAGAGAATATGTAATCAACTTGCCTCTTTGTTTCCCCTCACTGCTAACCTCACAGTGACAGTGCCACCTTGGGGGCTTTTCTGCCACTGGGGCTTAATTCACATTTATTAACGGATGTCAGTGTAGCCCCATCCAATGCAACTTTCGTGCCATTTGAAAGTAGGTTGCAGACGAGATGCCCTGTTACCCGTAGATACTTTTAGTCAGATTTCCTTAAAACGAGAGGACTGCTGCGTGACCGTTCCGTCCTCTGACCGTTCCAGAGGTCGACGTCGGCATGTGACATCTGACCACACAGACCACACTCACATTCGCTGCTTCTCCTGCTCATGGTTCTCTGTGCCCGAGTCCTGGTCCAGGGTCACAGCATGCATTCAGCGGTCCTCTCTCTCGTCTCCCTCAATCTGGAACAGTTGTTCAATCTTTTCTTTCATGACCTTGAAATTTGTGTGTAGGCTGGGCATTGTATAAAATGCCCCTCAGTTTGGGTTTATCTAATGTTTCCTCACGATTAGGTTCAGGATACACATTTTTGTCAGAAAACACCACAGAAATGATGCTGTGTCCTCACTTTATCATGCCGTGAGATACACGATCTCGGGTTGGCCCATTCCTGATTGTGTTAAGTTTGGTCACTTGGTTAGGATGGTTTCTCTACCATGTTTCCCTACAGTAAAGGTAACAAGAAGAAGTTTGTGAGGAGATTCTTTGAGACTACGTAAATGTCCTGGTCCTTATCAAATTGTCACCAGTTAGTATGAATCTGTTAGCACTTCCTGCCTGAGTCAGTTATTCCTATTCGTTTGTCAATGGTTGCTTATGCTTTGGTCAATGCTCTACTCTAGGTACAGTCCCTTCTCCCTTTGTTCATTTGTTTATTCATTTGTGTTGAGTATGGACTCACGGATTTCTACTTTATTCAGTAAGTTATATCACTGTCATTGACACTGAACCTTTGTCAGATTTGGTCTATGGGAATCTCTTCGGGCTCACTTCTATGTGCTTTTGACTTTTTGAGCTCTTCTGATTTTTTTTTCTCTTCTGATTTTATGACACAGGAACATATTCCAAGCTTATCTTGTACTTTTCCCTGTGCCAGCCATTTATCCAAGGAGCCCTGGTTCCTTTAAAAGAGGGGTGTAGTCCTGGGTGGCGTAGGTCAGTGGATTGAGCACAGGTCTGTGAACCACAGGGTTGCTGGTTTGATTCCCAGCATAGGTCACAGGCCTGGGTTTTGGGCCAGGTCCCCACGTGAGAGGCAACCACACATTGATGTTTCTCTCCTTCTCTTTCTCCTTCCCTTCTCTTCTCTCTAAAGAAAACAAATATATAAAATCTTAAAAAAAAACCCGATGTTGTCAAAGTCATGTTCGCTGGGGGCCACATCAGCTTGCGGTTGCCTTCAAAAGATCAAATGTAATTTTAGGACTGTGTAAGTGTAACTACTCCTTAACTAGGGGCAAGGACCTCTACATTCAGCCCTTTGAAGGCAATCACAAGGCTGATGTGGTCCCCGGTTAAAATGAGTTTGATACCCTGCTTCAATAGAACAAGAGTAACTAGAAAACAGAAGCTAAGGAGTGCCCATTGCTACTGGAAAACCATTAGTTTTAAGGCCGGTTGGTGGACAAGTCAAAGAAATACATGTGTGCATAAACACAGACATACATATATATATATATATATATATTTCTGTGTGTACATGTACACTGAAAACCTGGAGTTCACATTGAGTCCTTCAATTCTAGTTCAGTACTTTATGGTTTAATCTAGTCTTTAACATATTTGTAATTCCTTTTTCTCAGGGTGGGGATCCTGGCTCCCATAATCCTAAATATATTATTTGCTTACTCTTCCTTTATGTTGCAGCCTCCTGACAGTGCCATTTAAATCCAATGATGCCAAGCCCTCAACTATTGCTGTCCTTATCCTGACCACCCAGACCCCACGTAAGCCCTCTGTAATCCCAGTGAATTCAAGGCCAACTGCATCGTTGTCCGTGCTGTCAATCCTGATCGTGCCATTTGAATCCCAGGCGCTGGTCATTGGGCCAATCCCTCCACCCCAATAGGAAGAGGAGGGGAGAAATAAAAACATGATATTTTAATAAGCTTCCATGAAGTATTTATTTGGAAAAGCTTAAAAATAAATGGTTATGTATGTCTACAAAAATGTTTAAACATAGGTGTATATTTATGAAATTATAGAAAGTTTAAATTATGATTTGCTATCTCTTTTTGACTCAGCTCTAATACTTGCAAATAATTCTAAAATAGTATTAGTACTTCCTGGAATAACTAAACCATATGACATATGCTGTTCTTCATGTCTTTACAATCAACCATTTAATTACTCTGCATATATAAAATTAGCATACTTTTCAAGAAATAGAGTAAAACAGACTCATTGTCCATGTTTCTGACTTACAAGTTCTATTAGGGTATGTTGTTGGCATTTAAGTAAACACCATGAAAATCTCTCTCAGTTTTCTGGATGTGGTCCCACCCACTTGCTACAAGATACTTTACATCTTTCTTAGGGGGCTGAGAATTGAAAAGGTGGTGCAACCATATAGCCAGTGAACATTTCATTAACTAGGCAGAAGTGTTTAATACACTAGCACTAATGACAACAAAGAAATCTCACAATGTTTTAAGTAAATTTACAATTTTGTGCTAGGCTGCGATCATAGCCACACAGGCCTGCGTGTGGCCTGCGGGCCACAGGATGGACACCCCTGGTAGAGAGAGTGCTGATGAACAGTGAACATGGCCCAGAAGTACAAAAATGACATACATCAAAGTATGGTAAGATCTTATTTACAATTGCAGACACAAAGCCTGGCATATAATAGTTGCTGTCTGCCTAAATTAATTGTATCCCACTTCATCTTACATCAGAAATTTGCTGTTTGAGATCTACTTCCAAGAAAATCAAAGCTTTCCAGTACCCACCTGTTTTCTTCAGAGTTGTGCAAGTTCATCTAGTCAGTCGCCAGTCAAATCAGAGTGTGTTGTGATTTAACACAGGAGAAAGTGGTCAATCTGAGTTCTCCCTCTTCAAGTGCAGATACACATTTAATACAGATTCGGGAGCATTTTAAGTGACTTTTGTTTCAAATAATAAATGCAGAAATGTGTAAATGCATATTATCATCTAAAAAAATAATCATATAAAATGACCTCCAATTGCCCCCAAACTCCCTTAACAGAGTGTTAAGAAGCCACCAGTCCCCCTCCCTGGTCACATGCCTGCTCTACCAGCTGTAAACATTGTTTTGAATTTTATGTTAATCGTTCTCTGGCTTTTAAAAATATTTGCTACCTATATATTATTTAACTTTGCCTGTTTTTGTTTTTAATGTTTCACAAGTGAGATCATTGATTTTATGGCTTGCTGCTTACATTCAACCTGTCTTTGAGATTAATCTGTGATGTTTGTAGCTGCAAACATTTTTCTTTTTGCCTTTAAGAACCCTACTGTGAAGTATTCCTGTGGTAAATACACCATATCGCATCACTCACCCCACTGTTCGTAGACATTTAGGCTGCTTCCAGTTTTATGGTCACAGTGAACAATGTTGCATTGAAAACTTAATTTTTACCTTTTCTTTCCTTCACTTTTGTTTTAAACAAAGTTGCTTTGTGC